TCTTTCAATCTCTCTGATCTCCTCACCCTTTCCACCTTTCTGTATGTATATTGTTCCACTCTTCCATTCCACAATGCTGGTCATCTACCTCTAACGTATCCATATCATCTAAGTGTATTGTGCTTCACCCACTCCACATTTCATTCTCTTGCCCCTTTCATTCAATCCACATTTCTCACATACTGCAATACCTCATTGCTATATTCATCCCATGTACTCCACATGCTTTTGTAAAAACTTAATGAATTTCTACTACTTTTACTCTTGGTTATTCTGTCCCTTTACATACTGAAGCTTTACTTGTTTTGTCAAGGCTGGGAGTAATGTACTGTCTCCGACACTTCTTAGCTCATACTAACATTACTTTGTTTCATTATACTGTCCGTCTCTCCTACCACACTCCCACTTCTCTCTTATTTCATCTTCCTTATTTCCCTCTAATACTAAGCATTTAAAACTTGCTATCTCTTCCATTTTCTCTTTCCCTATTTTTATCTTAGTTTAAATTACTATCGTTCCACTATAATCTACGAAATCCATAACATCCCATTCTCTTCTACACAATTTTTTTTTCAATGCTTTAAATCATCATCTCTTGTACACAATATCACACTTGGTTCACAAGCTTTTGTAATTTCTTCACTCTATGCAAAGAACACATCACATGCATATTGTGCATACATGCATACTATGTTCATAACAATTGATCACTTTTAGGTGTTTTTTACTTGACCTCCCTAACTAAATTATCCATATCTATGTTAGTCTGACATTACAAATCACTGTTTTTTATACCCAACTGAACATTAAAATCATGATGTTACTGTATTTCCCTGTATTCTCACACGTCCTGTTATTCACAGGGAGAAGGCAACCTGTTTACATCTCAAATACTTATATATATGAATATATATGCTTGAAAATTTCACTGATTGAGATATCCATATTACTATCTTGTATAAATTTCACGTTTATATTTTTCCTTAACCTTGAGCACAAATTTGTACCAGATATGTTCCAGATAGTTGCCTGATACATTCCTTGAATTATTTTTTACTACAGTATGCTAGTATAACAAATAAAATATATATTTAAATAATGACCTTATATTAACATCCCACTATATAAAGTCATACTGTATGTGAGAGTATGGAATTTCCTTTATCCTTATACACTTCTTAGCCCCACCTTGGGCATCAGATGTGAAATGCCCAATTTTTCCCACACAAGTCTAGCACCGCGCTGGCCGCCAGAATGTGAGATTATTACTGGTTAATGGGATGTGGGTTCGAATGTTTGCCTTAGACAAATAATACACTCCGGAGGCGTGAGCAAAACGGCAAAGATCTAAGTACAGTACTGTACTTCAGGTGGAAATGAAGGCCAGGGCAGTCTCAGTTCTGCAAGCAATACCAGACTTAACCTCACTTGGGTTGTTCTCTCTAACTTCCTTGCAAGCCAATCTAGCAGGTAGCAGATGGATTCTCACACCAAATTTTAATTCAGTGTTTACGATTAGGGACTGGAACTTGAGCCAACTCATATTAATGTCAAAGTAGCAAAATGATGAGAAAGGGGGCAGTACTGCAGAATGAAGAAAGATATCAAAGGCACGTGTCTTGGTAAAAATAGGTTTATTCAACAACTTGCTAATACAGACCTCTGGAGACTAGCATCTTCACAGTGGAACATTATGCTATTCTCTATGCTCTCCGTCTCCTGCTTTCTCGTTGTCAATCTTCCTTTGTAGTTGTTGTTGACTCGTAATGCCCTCATGGCTCTCAGGTCCTTTAATCCGGTTCATCCAGTGGTTGTCGAGATCTAGCACTGGCTGTTTCTTATTCACAGTAAATTTAAGTCGGTTAAGTTTTGTTGGGTTCCCAGCCATATTTGTGTCTCTTTAAGGACCTGCCCGAAACATTATGCATGTTAGTGGCTTTACAAGAAAGTAAAAACATCAATATGCTCTCATAAACCCAATGTACCTTCTTATAAATAAATAAATAAATAAATAAAATTGTATAAGCCTCTGGTGCGCCCCACCTGTATTTTTGCATCCAGGCATGGAGTTCTCATCTTCAGAAAGCTGCTCTGGAGAAGGTGCAACATTGGGCAACAAAAATCATTCCAGAGGTAATTCATCTCACATATCAGGAACGGTAGGCCACTGGGCCACATATTAGGCCCATAATGTATAGTTTGCAGTCTTGTTAGCCCTCTGAGGCCTTCAACCTGTCCTGGTATGAGATTTGACTTAGTTCTGGAATGATTTTTGCTGCCTAGAGTTGAATATTCTCAAATGAAACTACTGAATGTCTTTCTGAAGATGAGGTCTCCATGCTTGGATGCAATAATCCAAGTGGGGGCGCACCACACACTTGTACAATTAAATGACTACCTTCTTTTCCTTAACAACAACAACAACAACCACCCATCACCTCCTCCCAGAGGATGTTGTTGTTGATGATTTAGGGGCGACGATCCCATCATGGGATCGGATGCGCCCCAGCGTACTCGTTTAGGGTTAATAGAAAAGCCCAATGGCAAAATGAATGTCGCTTATCAGCGGAAACTAATCTCCCTCGCGGCCAATAAACGCACAGATAGATGATTGGGGGATCCCCAGGAGTTCCTCAGGGCGACAAGCACAGGCCCCACCCCATCCAGGTCTGGTAGCTGAGTTGACAGCACTCAGGACTCGTAATTCTGTGGACCGGGTTCGATTCCCGGACCAGGCAGAAACAAACGGTCAAAAGTTTCTTTCACCCTTAATGCCCTTGTTACCTAGCAGTAAATAGGTACCAGAGAGTTAGACAGCTGTTACGGAGCTGCTTCCTGGGCGTGTGTGTGTGTGTGAAAAAAATGAGTAACAGTTGATTGACAGTCGAGAGGCGGGCCGAAAGAGCAAAGCTTAACCCCCGCAAGCACAACTAGGTGAATACAACCAGGTGAATACACAGAACACTGGGTAGCAAAACCCAAAACTCGACACCCCCCCCCCCAACTAAATCGCAAGTCATCCAGTGCCCTCCAGCAGGTTGCCAGCAGAGCAGAAGTCAGTCTCCCACCACGACTGAGGGCACACCAGGAGCCCACCACGACTGAGGGCACACCAGGAGCCCACCACGACTGAGGGCACACCAGGAGCCCACCACGGCTGAGGGCACACCAGGAGCCCACCACGACTGAGGGCACACCAGGAGCCCACCACGACTGAGGGCACACCAGGAGCCCACCACGACTGAGGGCACACCAGAAGCCCACCACGGCTGAGGGCACACCAGGAGCCCAACACGGCTGAGGGCACACCAGGAGCCCACCACGACTGAGGGCACACCAGGAGCCCACCACGACTGGGGGCACACCAGGAGCCCACCACGACTGAGGGCACACCAGGAGCCCACCACGGCTGAGGGCACACCAGGAGCCCACCACGACTGAGGGCACACCAGGAGCCCACCACGACTGGGGGCACACCAGGAGCCCACCACGACTGAGGGCACACCAGGAGCCCACCACGGCTGAGGGCACACCAGGAGCCCACCAACTCCCGGCACCTCTTGACCAAGCGGGCGTAATTTAGGTAATTTAAATTGATTGATGAAGATTAAGCCACCCAAAAGGTGGCACGGGCATGAATAGCCTGTAAGTGGTGGCCCTTTTGAGCCATTACTAGTATCAAGAGCTGATACTGGAGATCTGTGGAGGTGCGACTGCACCCTGCGTGACGGGAGATGTCTCCCGGCAGTAAGAAGTTCATTGATTGATTGATAAAGATTAAGCCTCCCAAAAGGTGGCACGGGCACGAATAGCTCGTAAGTGGTAGCCCTTTTGAGCCATTACCAGTATCAAGAGCTGACACTGGAGATCTGTGGAGGTGCGACTGCACCCTACGTGACGGGAGATGTTTCCCGTCCGGTAATTTAAAAGCGGGCGCGCTTTTAAGTACCCTGCTCAATGCGCGCGCGCGCTACTTAGTCGGTTAGACACAAATCATGGTAATACATTTTCTTCCCCACAGAACTTCGCCGCTTTGGGAAATCAGTGACTATTTATTTTTATATAAATATCCCATCTATAAATGCATGACGATTTATGAAAAAACTTTTGATTGATTTGATTTAACATACTGTCCTGACATACGGTGCGTGGGAACACCCACCACATAGGTTCGAATCTTCAACACGGCTCCTACAGATTTTCTCATTGACACATCACGTGTCAATTAGATCACAAAACCCTGTTCTTAAACGCAAACCATGCCCTAAATCTCCCTGGACAAATGTAATATAGGACCCATTATCACCACACCAGAAATAAATATCCCTTTGATATCCCCAGGGTCAAACTTAATCTGTAAACACTCTATGCAAATAAAGGGACCTGGTTTATGGAACTCACTCCCTAGCGAATTGAAAAGCTGTCAAACTTTTGCCTCATTCAAAAACAAAACCAAAAAGTACCTAATTTCATCTTCATAGTTTCCCACACTGAGCTTTAAATTTGCTCTGTATCTAGTGTTACCCAATCTCCCAATCTTTATGTACTTAATCCAAACAACTTTATCATTGTGTTCATTGCTGTCTTCTTTTATGTGCTAGCCATATGCTGTATTGTGCCTATTATTTTTTGTTAAACTACCATTCAAGCTGTTAATGCAATCAATCTGAGCTACCTATGTGCTTTATTATACCTACAGAATTCTCTCATCTTCCATTTTTTTTCTTGCTATGTACCTGTTATCATTTTTATAAATTTTGCGAGTATTTACCTACTTAAAATTTTCTTAGATTAAGGACTGCCCGAAACGCTGCGCGTAGTAGTGGCTTTGCAAGAATGTAATTACTATGCTATGTATCCTCACAATCCCAATGTACCTTCTTGTATATAAATATATAAATAAATAAATAAGTAAGTAAATAAATAAATAAATAAATAAATAAATAAATAGTGTGATTTTTCTCTTGTGTATAGGGTGCAAGGGCTGTAGCTGCCCCTAACCCATCAACAACAACATTACCCTCCAGTCCAACGATCGTCGTCGCCCCTTGATATTTTTGTTTTGTTTTGTTTTTGGTTAAATGTTCTTCATTCAACAACAATAACAACATTTCCATTCGAATTGCCTTGACACTAACGCAGTCATGGAGAGGACAAAACCTTCACGGAAACTGCTCTTAACATAACGAAGGGATTAAACAAGTGTAATTGAGGTGCTTCATTTAGATATAATTTTGGCATGAGTGATACCTTGTACTATGGTAAGGCCTGCATATAAATTGCATATTCAGTAGTTTAACATAACTAATTTAAGTTGGAAAATAGTGTTTTAACCCCAAACTCCTGTAGTCTGAAGTTACTTTAGTGGCGTCGATGAGTGCAAGATGGAATTGGCTTGTCAAAGGTCACTCCATTTGTGCTGATAATGTTTTCAAGCTGGAATAAATTCAGGTAAATACAGTTGAATAAATACATTCTTTTCCTTAGAGTCAAAGGTTTAATTGAATATTCCCAGGGTATGGTTAGCATTTTTACTGCCGCTCTCTATTTTAGGGCAACTTTCAGTGAATGATGGATTCTAACCTCAAGATCCCATTCTTCATCAATCTGCTGCAAGATAATATTAATTTGGTAGTTGTGATGTGGATTGTTACATCCCTGTAAAAATGACTAAAAGCTTTGTTACCATTGTAATGATTGTCATTATTGTATTTATTACTAGTCCATCATATGTATAACCAATGTAAATAATCTTGGATTTTTTTCATTTAAGATGAACTGAGAGAGTGTGAGAGAGAGTGAGTTTGAGAGAGAGTAATTATAATTACCTAAGTGTAGTTACAGGATGAGAGCTACGCTCGTGGTGTCCTGTCTTCCCAGCACTCTTTGTCATATAACGCTTTGAAACTACTGACGGTCTTGGCCTCCACCACCTTCTCACCTAACTTGTTCCAACCGTCTACCACTCTGTTTGCAAAAGTGAATTTTCTTATGTTTCTTCGGCATCTTTGTTTAGCTAGTTTAAATCTATGACCTCTTGTTCTTGAAGTTCCAGATCTCAGGAAATCTTCCCTATCAATTTTATCAATTCCTGTTACTATTTTGTATGTAATGATCATATCACCTCTCTTTCTTCTGTCTTCTAGTTTTGGCATATTTAATGCCCCTAACCTCTCCTCATAGCTCTTGCCCTTCAGTTCTGGGAGCCACTTAGCAGCATGTCTTTGCACCTTTTCCAGTTTGTTGATGTGCTTCTTAAGATATGGGCACCACACAACTGCTGCATATTCTAGCTTTGGCCTAACAAAAGTTATGAACAATTTCTTTAGTATATCCCCATCCATGTATTTAAAAGCAATTGTGAAGTTAGAAAGCATGGCATAGGCTCCTCGCACAACGTTCTTTATGTGGTCCTCAGGTGATAGTTTTCTATCTAGAACCACCCCTAGATCTCTTTCTTTATCAGAATTCTTTAAAGATTTCTCACATATTATATAGGTTGTGTGGGGTCTATGTTCTCCTATTCCACATTCCATAACATGGCATTTATTAACATTAAATTCCATTTGCCAAGTTGTGCTCCATATACTTATTTTGTCCAGGTCATCTTGAAGGGCATGACAATCATCTAAGTTTCTTATCTATGTCTATGTTATTATTGTTATTATTATTACTATTATCTTGGCATCATCAGCAAACATGTTCATATAATTCTGTATACCAACTGGTAGATCATTTATGTAGACAATAAACATCACTGTTGCAAGAACTGAACCCTGTGGTACTCCACTTGTGACATTTCTCCAGTCCGATACATTGCCTCTGATTACTGCCCTCATTTTTCTATCAGTCAGAAAATTTTTCATCCATGTTAGAAGCTTACCTGTCACCCCTCCAATATTTTCTAGTTTCCAGAACAACCTCTTATGTGGAACTCTGTCGAAAGCCTTTTTTAGGTCCAGATAGATGCAGTTAACCCAACCATCTCTTTCCTGTAAAATCTCTTGCTCGATCATAGAAACTGAGTAAGTTCAATACACAGGATCTTCCAGATTGAAAACCATACTGACTGTCTGATATTATATCATTTCTCTCCAGGTGTTCTACCCATTTAGTTTTGATTAGTTTTTCGAATACTTTCACTATTACACTTGTCAATGATGCAGGTCTTTTAATTGAGGGGGTCTTCCCTGCTTCCACTTTTGTAGATTGGAACTATGTTAGCCTTTTTTCCACACATCAGCTACAACTCCTGTAAACAGGGATGCCTGAAAAATCAGTTGAAGTGGAATGCTGAGCTCAGGTGGACATTCTCTCAGAACCCATGGTGAAACTCCATCTGGACCAACTGCTTTGTTCTTACTTAGCTCCTTGAGCATTTTTTCCACTTCGTCTCTAGACACCTCTAACTGTGTGTGTGTGTGTGTGTGTGTGTGTGTGTGTGTGTGTGTGTGTGTGTGTGTGTGTAATTACCTAAGTGTAGTTACAGGATGAGAGCTACGCTCGTGGTGTCCCGTCTTCCCAGCACTCTTTGTCATATAACGCTTTGAAACTACTGACGGTCTTGGCCTCCACCACCTTCTCACTTAACTTGTTCCAACCGTCTACCACTCTATTTGCGAAGGTGAATTTTCTTATATTTCTTCGGCATCTGTGTTTAGCTAGTTTAAATCTATGGCCTCTTGTTCTTGAAGTTCCAGGTCTCAGGAAGTCTTCCCTGTCGATTTTATCAATTCCTGTTACTATTTTGTACGTAGTGATCATATCACCTCTTTTTCTTCTGTCTTCTAGTTTTGGCATATTTAATGCTTCTAACCTCTCCTCGTAGCTCTTGCCCTTCAGTTCTGGGAGCCACTTAGTAGCATGTCTTTGCACCTTTTCCAGTTTGTTGATGTGTTCTGAAGTTAGAAAGCATTGCATAGGCTCCTTGCACAATATTCTTAATGTGGTCCTCAGGTGATAGTTTTCTATCTAGAACCACTCCTAGATCTCTTTCTTTATCAGAATTCTTTAAAGATTTCTCACATAATATATAGGTTGTGTGGGGTCTATGTTCTCCTATTCCACATTCCATAACATGACATTTATTAACATTAAATTCCATTTGCCAAGTGGTGCTCCATATACTTATTTTGTCCAGGTCTTCTTGAAGGGCATGACAATCATCTAAATTTCTTATCCTTCCTATTATCTTAGCATCATCAGCAAACATGTTCATATAATTCTGTATACCAACTGGTAGATCATTTATGTACACAATAAACATCACTGGTGCAAGAACTGAACCCTGTGGTACTCCACTTGTGACATTTCTCCATTCCGATACATTGCCTCTGATTACTGCCCTCATTTTTCTATCAGTCAGAAAATTTTTCATCCATGATAGAAATGGTTTTTCATGGTTTTTCAACTGCTTCAACCTCCTTATTTTCTTCCAGCTTATAACGCATTGCATACTTTATTCCCAAAAAGACATGGTCACTTTTACCCAAGGGAGGAAGGTACTGAATGTCAAACATCTCTTCCTCCTTCCTGGTAAATATCAAATCTAGCATGGAGGGAACGTCCCCTTCCCTCATCCTCGTAGCTTGTTTAACATGTTGATACAAGAATGTTTCCAGGATGAGGTCTACAAATTTACAGGTCCAAAAATCTTCAGTTTTAGCTTCATATGCTTCCCAGTCTATGGATTTCAAGTTGAAGTCACCGACTATCAACAGTCGTGATCTATCGTTATCCGCTCCCGCTATAATCTCTCTCAGTATTGTTATAAGACCTTCACGTTTACTATCTAGCTCCTCCTTTGACCATGTGCTGCTTGGCGGTGGACTATATGCATTTATCATCATTAGTTTATCATCCTCATAGCAGATCTCTAGTGCTATTATGTCAACTTCTTGTGGATTGGCAGTCATTATTTCCTTCACCTTTAGGTGTTCTTTTACCAGCACAGCAACGCCACCGCCTTTCCTAATTATTCTGTCCCTTCTCCAAATTGAGTAGCCCCTTGGGAATATGACCTCATTTAAAATTACATCTTCAAGTTTTGTCTCCGTGAGTGCAACAATGTCTGGTGTCTGCAGCTGTATTACATCACTTAACTCCAGTATCTTCGATCTCACTCCATCTATGTTGGTGTATGCAATCTTCAGGAACTTGTTCCCCCTCTCCTTATTCTTCACTCCCCCTCTCTCTATTGATTTTGTTGGTTTGCCTTTATGTACCACTTTACTGGTTTGCCTACCCCTATCACTTTGTAGAAAAAAGAATTTATTTCTTCTTCATTCCTGCTCTCATTTAAATGTTTTGCCTCGGCGAGGTTCAGTTTCAGCTTCTCTCTATCTTCTTTTGAAAGATCTCGTCTTAACGACCACCCTTTCCCATCCTCATCCCTTTGCAATTTTCTAGCATTCCTTAGTACTTCTTCCATCTGTTTGGCACCGTTTAGGGTGATCCTCAAAGGTCGATCTTTCCCTTTTACGTACCTGCCTATTCTCCTGTAGTCGCACACATTCTCTCTGTTTGTAAGACCTTCCACGAGGCCAACAATTTTATCTACTACTTTAGCTTCTTCTACAGCTCTTTCTGACCTAGATGTTATCGCCTTTTCTTTGCAGCCAAAAATGATCAGGGACTTACTCCGATCAACTGTGTTTTGCACCAACTTCGGGTTAGATGCCAATTCTTTCCTCACTTCTAGCCTAATGTTTGTTTTATCTTGGTTGCTGCAGTGTTTGACTTCCTTTACTGCTTCTTCTATTTTTTCCTTCTCCTTGGCCACTTGTGCATAAGTGAGTTGCATATCTTTCTTGCACTGTTCTATTCCCTGTGTAACTTCCTCCATCTGTGCTGACAAAAGCTGTTTCTCCCGTTGAATTTCCTTGCCTAACCTATTGTAGTCATTTATGTTTAAATTTACTTTAACTTCTTCCAAAGCTATTTTTAAGAGTTTATTTTCTTCTTCCATGGCTTTGCAATTTGTTTGTGTGTGTGTGTGTGTGTTTTGAGAAAGATATTTACATTACAAATGAAATAGCAAATATAAATTATTAAATGTGGGGTAAAACATACTAGTATGATATGAATTTTAATGTAAGACATTGACCTATAAAAAAGAAACGTAATCTTGCAGCTGTAATTCCTTTGGAGACAATTACAAAATTTTGTCACGCGTATTGGTTGTGCCTGTACACTATTATATGAAGATATCTTATGTATATGGATGAGTTATGGCTTGGTATTAAGGTACTATGCTTAGACTGTACAATATTTTATATTTTAAACTCTTTCTATTTATTCTCTCAGTGCCGAACATTATCTATGGAAGAGAGAAGAGCTGAAGGAGGACTCTAAAGCTGCCTCATTGTAGGAAATAAAGCAGGAGGCATCTGATGTCCTTCAGCATACCCTGAGAGTTGATGAGAACTCAGATCACCAAGATGTTAAGGATAAGCAAGGATAAATAAATAAAAACTTACTACTTCATTACATCATTTATTTTTATTTATTATATTTTATGATGGACTAAGATTTCTTTTTATTTTACTGGAGGATTGTCTTTTAATATTTTTATAATTGTAATACTGTATATTTTTAGCTATGTTAAATATAAATATTTATACTAATATATTATAGTGGTCATTAATATGTTTATAGATGCGGTACTTTGTTAAAGTAATTTTCTTTTGTTATTAAAATAATTCAGTAGCTCTATATTTAAGTTTACTTTTTCACATGTAAACTCTGCTTTGTTTTGATGCCATGGGTTGCACGCAGTTCTCCTATATAACATGTATTCTGTGCACAAAGAATTGTTCATTTCATTTGTAGTGGAACAATTTTACGAAGCATTTGGTGTACAGTATGTAAATTCATTTACAAATTTGTGTGTTAAATTTTTATAAATACAAAGGAATATATTTTTTTACAAATAATAAATAAATTTTGTAAATAGAAAAATATAGTATCTCGAGTGTAAAATGAGTGGTGGTAAGGGTACTCGCCTTGCTCGCAAGAGAAAAGTTGATGCTGAGCTGCAGTCTACCTCTGGCTCTTCGTTACATGATATCACTGATGATTTTGAAGATAGTGCCAAAGTCTTCAGGTAATTATATTTATTTTTATTTTTATAATACAAAGTTTTGTTATAATACAAAATTCATACTTAAATTAATTTATAAGTTAGACACTAGACTTTTCTTATTTGGAATTACTGTGTATACATTTAATTTTGTAAGGAAAAGCTGAAAGTGCTGACAATAAAACCAATGTGGCAGAAGGCATGGAATAGTGGTAACTTTGCAGAAGAATGGCGATAGTAACACTGTACAAATAAAGAGATATAGGGAGTGTAAGAATTCTAGCGGCATTAGTTTACTAAAGTGTATTGGGTAAATTATATGTCACGATAATGATCAGAAGAGTACAGGAAATTACTGTACAGTACTTAAAAAAACATTGTGGTAGAAGAGGTTGTGTAGATCAGATACTTGCACTGGAAAGCTTGCATAGAAGGCATGTGAGAAAGAGTGCAAGATGCCCATGGCCTTTATAGAGGTTGGCAAACATGCCTGACCAAAGTTAATAGAAGAGTGATAAGCACATGTGGAGTTGAAGGTATTGTAAAATGCTGCAAAAATGTGAATATTGGTATTTGGTGCATGTTTAAGAAAGACTTGATGATTTGATAATAATGAAGGTGTATACAATGGGGGCCTCGACTTACGATGCTAATCTGTTCCCAAAGATGGATCATAAGTCAAAATATTGTAAGTCGAAGCGATTTTTCCCATAAGAAATAAAGAGATTTGAATTAATCCGTTCCCCACCCTCAAAAATATTAACATACAAATACATTTTATACTGAATACAATGTTTTTTTCTAACTACAATACAGTACCTAAGTTGATCTTACCTTTATGGAGGGCTCTTGATGGCATATGGAAGATGGTGATGACGGGGAAGGAGGAGAGTTGTTACTGTTTGGAAGGGGAGTCCCCTTCCATTATCACATCAGGCAATGATGTTTTCTCTGGGGTACTCTCTCTCCTACGTTTTGCCTGAATACCACTAGGACCTGGTTGTGGTTCAGTGCTTGTTTGTCTCACTACAAATTTGTCAAGAGACATTTGTTTTTCCCTTCGTTTTAACATTTGTCTGTAATGATGCATCACTTTAGCACCCATAATGTCCTTTTTCTTAGCCAGTATGGTGAATATCGTTGACTGAGATTTGTTGTACTGCCTAGCCAGTCCAACAACCCGCACACCATCTTCATATTTACGAATGATCTCTTGTTTCTGCTTCAGTGACTTTCCTTTGTCCATGTATTTTGTTCTTTGTTGTCCTGTGGGGCTCTGCCTCGCATTTCGATGCTTTTGGTTTCGTTGTCAGCACCTGGGTTGTTTCCCTATCTGGACATGAAGACGGGACACCACGAGCGTAGCTCTCATCCTGTAACTACACTTAGGTAATTACTCATTCCTTGCCTATCTTTGGTGCCTGGCTGCACCCTGCTGTCCATGAGGTCCCTCGGAAATGTCCGCCCTCCACTGCACATTTTGTGGTTGGTCGTGTGCATTACTTCCTGGCCGCTCCTTGGTCTGTATTCGGGGTTTTCCTTGCCTCTTTCCATTTTTCCTCCTCCTATGCTACACTTGTCTGTGTATCTGTGCTTCTTGACTATCCTGGTATTGGGTGCTCGGGTGGGCCACTGTCCATGATCAGTTCCCTGCTTTTGGACTTCTCCGGTGTTCTGTTTTGGTACCGATTTCCTACGGCTTTTCTTGGTGACTTACTGCAGGCTTTGGTGTTGCACTGTCTGTGGGGTGTTGTGGACTTCCGGTCCGCAGCTCCTGCCTTATTGGTTCTTTTTCTTGGAACCGGTTGCTGGGTTACGGTCTTGGCTCCGGTTTTTCTTTGTTCCTTTTCCGGAACGGGTGTGTTTGCTTTCCTGCAGTTCATGTCCTGCGTAGTTCTCCTCTTGGATGCCTCAGGAAAGCTTGCAGGCTCTTCCCTGCTGGAGCTGGTTATATTGCTCCTTTGGGTTGAGGGATCCCTGTTTTTCGATTCGCATTTTGCGCTTTCGTTCGTGGTGCTCGTTTCTCGTCGTTTGTGTTGGCACTGGTGGGTTCGTTGTTGGTGATGATTTTGAGACGCCCCCGAGACGAAACCTGCGTGTTTCGTCTCGGGGGCGTTGTGTGTTTTTCCTGGCGGTCCTTCCGGTTTTCCTATCACTGTGAAGGGTCCTTCGGTCTCTGATAGGGTTGGTTTGTCTTCCCTTCGGGGTTGTTCCAGGATCGTCATCTGGGACTGTGTCCTGTCACCGCGTATTTTGTGGTGCTGGCGGAGCCGCTCCTGCTTGCATTTAGGGTTGCGGTTCCTTCTGCTCCGTTCCGCTTGCTGTCCTGGGCGTTGTTTCACCTCCGGCCTGCTCTCGAGTTCTGGTACCGTCCTGATCATTGGCCTGGGTGGTCTATTTTCTTCTCGTTTTGGTCTTTGAGTTATTGCTTGGTTGGTCGGGCCAAGGGGGGGGGTGCTTCCTTTGTTGTTCGGTTGCGTTTTTTTTTTTTTTTTTTTTTGCTGTTTTCTGCGCGTCTTGGCCTCAGGGGTCGTGGACACGTTTTAATTGTTCACGTTCCCTTCTTCCCTCGTTCCTGTTCGGGGGTTCAGGTCTGCAGGGTCTTTGTTTTGTCTGGGGTCTTGGTTATTTAGGTTAGGGCGCGTAGTGTCCGCCTCCCAGATCCTTCCCTATTTTCCTTATCTGTGGTGAGGTAGCTCCGGGAAGCCAACGGGGCTCCTCCCAGAAAACCAGCGTTGAATGTAATGAAACGCCATTTTCTGGGCGAGTCCCGGAGGCTCCCCGGCATCCCTCCCTCCCTCCCCCCTCCCTCCCTCCCTCCCTCCCTCCCTCCCTCCCTCCGGTCGGTGGCGTTTTTTTGGTATTTTGACATCCAGCCTAAGAATTGCCAGTTGGATTGCCGGTGTGGAGGGTCTGGGCTCCCCCTTCCCCCTCCCAGGGAGGGGGGGGGGTTGTGCAGACGGTGGCGTGGCGACGTTATGACGTCATGCTAGTTTGATAATTTTGTTTGGGGAGTTCTATCCACTCGTTTGGCTTTCTGTAGCAATATTTTCACCAGAATAGGGGTTTGTTTTGGGGCGCCTACCTTTCTGGGTGCCTATCCCGGTCGATGGCAGACATAGAATGCTCCCAACCACAAGGGGGTTTCTATAGGCCATTGCTCCTCGTGCCTCTCTGAGGGGGCCAGGTTCTGGCTCGTGGTCCCCGGTAGGCAAGAACTCCTAGCATTTTGATTGATTCCAGAAAGTTATACATATCCATTCAGCCTGGATAGCTCCGGGGAGCCTCCGGGACTCGCCCAGAAAATGGTGTTTCATTACATTCAACGCTGGTTTTTTGTTCTAGGCTGATGCCTTCCCATCCTATGAGAGTTGAAAATTGTGTAATGGTGATTAACTTTATGTGTAGATCTTTTATTAGTACTTATCATTGGCCTCAGTTTTGTTATGAGCATAATCCCCTATGCTCCCTAATTCACAGTCTCTGTGGTGTAGTGGTAAGACACTTGCCTGGCGTTCCGCAAGTGCTATGTCATGGGTTCGTGTCCTGGCCGGGGAGAATTTACTGGGAGCAATTCCTTAACTGTAGCCTCTGTTTAACGCAACAGTAAAATGTGTACTTGGATGAAAAAACGATTCTTCGCGGCAGGGGATCGTATTCCAGGGACCTGCCCGAAACGCTACGCGTACTAGTGACTGTACAAGAATGTAACAACTCTTGTATATATCTTCAAAAAAAAAACTAAAAAAATAATCACTACATTAAAATTACTGAGGGTGGATAAAGAAAATAAAAAAAGAATAGCCTCTTTAAATTGAGAGAAATTATCAAGAGGACATGGGTGGAAGTTAAAAATGTAAATGAGTTGAAGTGTAGAGAAATATCTATGGAATTCACTGAAAAGTTGTGGAAGTCAAATCCATCAAAAACTCAGCCAGATATAACAAAAACTTTAACATTAGGAGAGCTAAAATATAATTCAACAGGTACAACAAGGCTGAAGTTAGGTTAAGTATTGTGTTGAAGCTTTGTGTTTCATTACATTAAATATTTAATATTTTTTTCAGGCTACCTTCCCAAGCGCACAAAAAACCCAAGACAGAACAAGCCTGTGTTCCTGCCAGGTCTCGTGGTAGGCCCAGGAAAATTGGTAGTAGGAGTGCAGCACATAGCGATGGACCTGCATGTAAAGAAACAGAAAGGCCAGAAGTACTCGATGTAGATAGTGATGCATTTGTGGAACATCAAGAGAGTCAACTTTTAGACTTCCAAGAAGAAATGACTGAAGATAATAATTTTATCTTGGAATTAGAAAAATCTATATGTTCTGAATCAGAAAAATTGTGCCCTTGTTGCAAGCACATTGTTCCATGTACTGTATTCTCCGATCACTCTAAAGAATGTTTACAGAGATTCAAGCTAAATAAAAGAGAAAGTGAGAGAAAATCTATAAATATAGCTGGACAAAAACCCCAAGAGAAGACAAATGGAGAATCAGCGAGTGAAATCAACCAACAACTGCTTCCTTGCCCTGTGTGCCTCAAGGTACAGTATGACTAATGCGTAATCAAACGTCCTAGCTAGATTAGAACAACCTGCTGTGGGTAAGCAAGCACGAAGATAGTTCAGCTAATGCTTAGGTTTGTGACACTAAGTTCTTGACAAATGTGATCTGACTTAGTTGCTGCCACTCGAAGCTCTCTTCCCTTTCTTTCTCTTATGTTACTCTCTCTGTTTATCTTTGCCATTTGGCCTCCTGCACATTTCTTTATTATATGTTTTTATCTTCTTATTTTTCTCATTTTTAACAATGCTGTATATTATTCCTATTCTTCTTTCCCTAACTTCTAACTTTTCCTACATTTTACGTTATTCTCTAAATTCTTATCTATATTCTTTCAATTTTTACCTATATTCTTTCAATTTTTACCTATATTCTCTTAATTCTTACCTATATTATCTTAATTCTTACCTATATTCTTTCAATTCTTATATGTATTTTCTTAATTCATACCTATATTCTCACAATTCATACCTATATTCTCTCAGTTCTTTCCTATATTCTCTTAATTCTTATCTATATTCTCTCAATTTTTACCTATATTCTCTTAATTCTTACCTATATTCTTTCAATTCTTATATGTATTTTCTTAATTCTTACCTATATTTTCACAATTCATACCTATATTCTCTCAGTTCTTTCCTATATTCTCTTAATTCTTATCTATATTCTCTTAATTCTTATCTATATTTTCTCAATTCATACCTATATTCTCTCAATTCTTACCTATATTCTCTCAATTCTTACCTATATTCTCTCAATTCTTACCTATATTCTCTCAGTTCTTACCTATATTCTTTCAGTTCTTACCTATATTCTCTCAATTCTTTCCTATATTCTCTTAATTTGTACTTATCATCTCACTCTCTTACCTTTATCTCACTTTCATCTCACTTTCTTACCTTATAAACTGTCTGTCTCTGCCACTATTTTTTCATTACATGACTTGATAATACTGTAGATGTAGGGTCAACCCAACAGTCATTCATCTGAAGTAACCCTAATCTTGAGGTTATTTTGAGATGATTTCGGGGCTTTAGTGTCCCCGCGGCCCGGTCCACCCCCAGGAAGCAGCCCGTGACAGCTGACTAACACCCAGGTACCTATTTTACTGCTAGGTAACAGGGGCATAGGGTGAAAGAAACTCTGCACATTGTTTCTCGCCGGTGCCTGGGATCGAACCCGAGACCACAGGATCACAAGTCCAGCGTGCTGTCCACTCGGCCGCTGCATGCAACAGCCTAGTGGACCAAACTCTCACAAGTCAAGCCTGGCCTTTGGCTAGGCTTAGGGAGTAGAACTCCCAGAATCCCATCAACCAGTATCAACCAGATGGCCGATAAGGAAAACCCCAAACCATAAGGGGGTTTTCCAGGGCCATTGCTCCCTGCATCTTCTCTGAAGGGGCCAGGTTCTGGCACTTGTCCCTGGTAGGTCTGAACTCCTTAGCTAATGTCCCGGTCTAATATAACATACATTAGCCCGATAAGCTCCAGGGAGCCTCCGGGCTCACCGAGAAAATGGCATTTCATTACATTCAACGCTGGTTTATTCAGTTAATGACCTTTGGTTGTAAAAGTATTAAATAAATCTTCCTATTTACATAAATTCTGTTTTCACAGTCAGCCAACCATTAATATTTTAAACAAATCTCTTACAGTCTCAAAAATCCAAGGTTCAGCATCAGTCTCACATTAAGAGCTGTGCCCAAAGTCATGGTTTAACCATGGAACAGCTATTGCTGGCATCAAAACTGACTGAGAAACAGGCTGAAGAGAGGATCCAGTTAGGACTTCCTCTCCTGGTGCAGCAAACAAGTAGCAGTAGTGATAGATATACAGAGAAGAGAAGCAAGGTAAGCATTGTAAGTAATGAGAAAGATGATTAGCATTTCTTAGGAAAGTTAGAATTAATTTCTGAATACTTTTCAAAATATGTATCAACTTTAAATGTTTAAATCAGTGATATTCAATTCGTTTAAGCTTAATAAGCACAAAAATGAGACTGGGGTATCTATCTTGGGACAAGATCCTTCTTCCTTCTCTGAGGCAGGTGATCACATGGGGGTCAATGGTCAACTCAGCACAAAAGCAACATGCTCTAAATTAATGAAAGGGAACCACAAAACATCAACACTTCTTAAAAATGTTTTGGATAAGGTACAAAATACTGTAACCAAACATTAATGAAAACTACTAAATAAGCTGTTCAGTGAATCTACGTCCACTATTTCCTACCCTCTCCTCCCTGTCCTCACTGCCAGATGCCATTAGACTATTCACGATTTAACAAAAACAACACTATTTTTTGTTGTGAAGCCAGTACAGTATGTGGTAACATATGAGTCATTATCTTGCCATTAGCAGAGTGATTTGAACTATGGCATAAAAATAGGGAAAAAGATATTGAAAGAGGCAATAAGTATTAAATGCTTGGGAGCAAGGTTAAACAAAAATGAAGAAATGGAAGGTAAAATAAAGTGTATTAAGTGGGAAAAGACTGATAGGAATGGTGAATATTATAATGGAGAGAATGAATGTTGGTACTGTATTAGAGTTAAGAATACACATGATGGAGCTTTATTGCTTTCCCTAGAAAAGCAGCTTGTGTAAATACAGTAACTGAGATGGGTGTAGTAATAAGGAGGCTCTTGAGAGTTGTAGTATGAGTGAAAGGGGTAAGGGAATGAAATGTGGTGTGATGGAAATGTGGTGAAGAGCAATACACTTTTGTGGTATGGACATGTTAGTAGGATGCCTGATTATCATTAGTGACAAGGGTGTATAAGAGGGAATTCTTAACCAAATTAGGGGATCACATGGTGAAGGCAGACGATCGGTATCTTGGGGGCGAGAGTGGGACAGCATATTACATAAAGGGTGGGTACTACCTCTTGACGATTTCGAAGATCAACATTCCTGCAGCCCGGTGTCTGACCTGGCCTCCTGGTTGCTGGTCTCATCAACCTGGCTGTTCAGTGCAGCTCCTCATTAGAGAGTTTGAAATAATAAAAAGTTGTTAATAGTCATTTGGAAAAACTACTTGTGTGACCAGACCCTGATAGGGAGCTCCCAGAAAGGAGTAAGGCATTCTTCACTTTAATGTCCCTAATTCTGTCCAGTAAATCTCCTGAGTATTCAATATGGACCTTATTAATACCGTCAATTAGTTTAGACAAAGATTTTCACTAAAAGTTTAGTGAGCACATGGGAATGATGGGTTTGGGGTTTTTAAGCAAACCATACATGTAGATGGGGCTTGGATTATTACGCTCAAAATACCAGATGTTACGAGTTGTATATGATTTGAATTGTTTTGGTAAAGAGAGAGATGCTCATTTAGGTGATGGGATATCCTACTTAGTTGTCCTTGTATGAAACTTAGTTATTTATGCAGATATTTTGTGCCTGATCCTTCTTATACATATACATGTTTGACGGGATTTTTCAATATAATTACACAGTACAAGTTAAAACATAAAATAACTTCAATGCTGGTTATATTTAACAAAAAAATTAAATTAGAATACAGTAGTATTATACAAAAATAAATTTGAAATTATATATAGGGCTCCTCAGTGGCTCCCTGTTTCTAGCAACTTGGATAGTTGCACCAAATTCTAATTACACCCAGACCCTTGCGAGTCATTGTAACCCTATTGAAGACCATAGGCCAAAACCAGGCCCCCCCTCGATACAGTTGGACGTAACTGAAGAATTTTTTTTATTTATATATATACGTACATACAAGAGTTCTTACATTCTTGTAAAGCCACTAGCACTCATAGCATTTCGAGCAGGTCCTTAATTTTAATTTTTCCTGGAATATGACCCACTATATTATTTAACCACCTGTTTAGTTAGTCCTTCAGGCTCTGGTAATTTCTGGTAAAAAATAGGTAATTCTCTGGTAAAAAATAAACCACTGTGGGTTTTCAATGTGGCCTAAGAATATTCCCTCTTATCTTGCTCTTACCTTGTGCAAGTTTGAAGGCTGTTCATCATCTTTGCCATGGGGTGATACTCATTACGTTTGTCTGCCATGCTGCCTGTTAGGTTCGTAACACCTACGACCCAGAGTCTTGTGGGGTTTGTTTCTCCTGTGTGGCTCCTCTCTTATGTCCTTCAAAGGGAGTTCTAGCTTATCAGGCAGTTGCTGTATTGTGGGTTCGGTTTGCCTGTCTTCGGTGTTCGTGGCTTTGTGCCCTGTTGTATGCCCCAGACTTTTGCCCATCATGGATTTGGAATTGGTGGTGTTTGTGAATTCCTCCTTGGTTTCATCCATGTCTTCTCTTCGTTCCCCTTTGGGCGTGGTATGCCCTGCTTCTGTTCCTTTCCCCTCTGCTTTCAACTCCAAAATGTCTGAAAGTTTTGGAGTTCAGGCAAAGTTTCACTCTGGATGTAACTGCATTCTCCAGGGCTGGCTCCTTCCACTTTGGGCACAGGGGCAGCTGGGGCTGCCTAATCCTGCCGAGGTTTTGATTTTTGTTTCCTGCCAGCTAGCCCCTTCTTCTGAAGCCTCTCCTCTGGACTCTGCTTTTTTGTCTTGGGGAGTGGGCATGAACTCTTGCTTCCTAAGATTCGGGGGAGTCCGATAGGCATTCTTGGGTTCATCCTTGTTTGTTGGGAGTTTATGTTCTGGCCTAACTTGACATTGATGGCCTGTGTGTGTGTACGCACTAGCCAGGGTTTGGGTTCATAGTGAACTAGTGAAAGTCCCTGTTTCATCCCAGGTCCAGAATTGGCTGGACCTCGTATTGGACTCTCGGTCAATGGCGCTTACCCTTCCTCCAATGGCTTTGCTCTGGCTGCAGTGTCACTGCCTTCTGATGTTGAGGCTGCTCTGGGTGACTTGGCATTTGCAACTGTGCAGGAGCCTTAACTTTTCTCGCTGGGCAAGGTGTGGCTTTGGGGGATGTTCTGGTTTCTACGGTTCCATCCCTTTTTCCACTGCTATACCCATTTGGTTCAGGCCCCAATTGCTGTTCGCATGCTGCTGCTTTGCCATTCAGTCTTTTCAGGGTTCAGTTCTTTGGCGCTGTCCTTTGCTGTTGCTTGACCTGTTTCTGGATACGTTGGCTCTAGGATGGGATTTCGTAACCAGCGCTAATCAAGCAACTTAGTGCTATTGGTTGGGTCTGTTCTATCTGATGCATGGTATAGTGCTCAAGTTTGCAACCATTTTCCATTTCTTGAGGGGTCCATATTCTTCCGGGCTGTGTGCTATGGCTTCATTTGTACTTTTTCCCAGTGGTTCATTACTTGAACCAAAGTGGTTCCCTTCAGTCTTTTGCCCTTTGGAGATGAACACTGTGGGTAGCTCACCTACTGGATTATGGAGGTTTGATTCTCTGTACTGTTCACGTCCAAGGAATGTCCAGGGCTCTACCTAATGATCTCTCTTGCATACTTCCAATCTCCACTGAGTGGAGCATTGACACAGACTCCTTTCAGTGGCATTGCAAGACTTAAGGGTACGCTAAAATGGATTGCTTTGTGTAGGCTTTGAATTTGCACTTTCCTGTGTATGTGGGTGCATTCCTGAATTGTGAGGGCCCTCGTGATGGGTGCTTTTCAGCTCAAATGGTCACATTGGGGATTCATTACCTCTTACTCCTGGTCCTGCTATTGCTCTGGGTTCTGGTCAGATTGGAGTCCTACCAGGAAAAAGTGGTCCTGACTCTTTGGTGTCCAGTACAGCTTTGGTTTCAAGAGCTGCTTGCATGGTGTATTAACCTGGGCATTTTACCATGGCTCCATCTCTTTCAGAAGATCGGTCTGGTAATGTACCTTGCTAGTTCAAATTTCTCCTTGGCTCTTCCCGTCTGGTCTTTCTGATGCATCTCTTGCCATCTCTATAGCCTACAGGTGGCTGAATTAATGGTGTCTCACCTGCATTTTTATGGCAACAGTATGAAGTAGCTTGGTGCTCTTTTCACCACTTACTCTCCCCATCATCTTCATTCTTCTGCCTCTGTTATTGGTCTACTTTTGGTTATTTCTTGGCCCATATCCTGTGCTTCATGATGTTGCCTCTTATCATTCGACAGGCAGCTGTCTTGCTCATTGTTTCACCTCTGGCCTTCTTATGCCCTGTTGAGCCCTCTTGGTCTCTTGATCACGTCCTCACCTTTCTTCCTTCTCGATTTATGGTTTTCCCTTGGGTCTGTGGTTCTTCAAAGCAGCCAGTGTTGGCACTTGCCTCTGATTCAGGCATCAAGGAGCTTAATTCTCTTCTCTGGAAGTGAGCTTTTGTTATTGTAGCCCTGGTGGATTTTTTTTTTTTTTTTTTTTGCAGCTGTTTCCCTCTTTTTCTGACTAAGAATAAGTTGGTGGGTCTTTTAGTTATTGATGTTTGGTTTGGCTGGGGTGCATCTTGTGCTGTGCCCAGTGGTAGCTCTACTGCTACAGTCATGCCACAGATTCTGCCTCAGTGGGTGCTTTATGGGCTGATACAGTGGTACCTCGGAACACGAGTGTCCCTGTATGCGAGTGTTTCGGAATACGAGCAGGATTTCCTCGGAAAATATGTCTTGGAAGGCGAGGGTTACCTCGGAACGCAAGTTTGTTGATACGCGTTCAGGGCGACCTAGCGCGTGGTGGTTCGGCGATCGTCGCCCCTCCGCCCCTCAGTTTACCATTGTCTCGCGCCCAGTGACTATCCCACATCAATTCTTCACCCGGATTTTCAGTGTTTTGTTGGATTTTTGGTCATTTGACTATACAATTTGTTATTATATATCTCACTATGGGTCCCAAGAAAGCCAGTGGTAAGGATCAAGGCCAGAAAGCCTATGTGAGGATGACAATAGAGGAGAAACAAGAGATCATTCGGAAGCATGAGAATGGTACACGTGTTGTTGAACTTTGTAGGCAGTACAACAAAGCCACATCAACAATATGCACTATACTTAAGAAGAAAAATGAGATTATGAGAGTTAAAGTGGCAAAAGGAGTAAGAACAATGACGAAACAAAGACCACAAATACTTGAAGAAGTGGAAAAGTTGTTATTAATTTGGATACACGACAAGGAATTAAGGGGTGATAGTGTTTCGGAGGCCATCATTTGTGAGAAAGCCAGGGTATTGCATGAAGACCTTCTAAAGAATACCCCTGCAACGAGTGATGCAGATATGAAAGAGTTTAAGGCAAGCAGGGGCTGGTTTGAAAAATTTAGAAGGAGAAGTGGTATCCATAGTGTTGCAAGGCATGGGGAGGCAGCCAGCTCAGACAAACCAGCCCTGGACAATTTATTGAGAAATTTAAAGAGTTTGCAGAGGCTGAGGGATACCTACCGCAACAAGTGTTTAATTGTGACGAAACAGGACTGTTTTGGAAAAGAATGCCTAAGAGGACATACATTAAACTCTTAAACCGAGGTACCCCCTGTATATGGTTATCAGGTCATCCACGTTGTTATTAAGTCCAGGCAGCCTGCTGTCTACCCATGTGCTTATGATCGTAAGTATATTGCTCTTACGTCTTTATTGCTGGTCTTTACTTACATGTCTTGGGCTGGTATTCGGGTATGGTATTTTCTGTCTTAACAGGGTTTTGGTAACCTAGTATTTAGTTAATGTCCCTGAGCCTCATCATGGCTGTTTTCTTGGGCCGTCTCTCGTAGAGTTGGCTCTTCTTGAATACCTGCTGTCTCTTCCTCTCTGGTAAGTCCCTTGTCTTTCATCTCTGTGTGTAGGTAGCTTCAGGGAGCCACAAGAGGTTTTCCCAGAAAGCCAGCATTGAATGTAATGAAACTTTTCTCTCTGTATGAGCCTCACTGGCTCCCTAATTCTCTCCCTCCCTTCTAGGTTTGTCGGTTGAAGTTTGTATTCACAGCTGATCCAAAACTGACTTGTAAGACTGGGAAAGACCTGAAGATCTGGCCAACTAACCAACCCCCTTTCCCTCTGGTGGTGGGGGGGAGGGGATAGTGCTATTAAGCTTGTATTAGTTTAATGAAATTTAGTCATTTGTTTACATAGTTTGGTGAGTTTGTTTGACACTTTCAAAGCTTTTGTTCTTTCGAACCCAGCAGTGGTCAGTATGGGTTTGCTGACTTAATGGATGCTTTCCCTGTTTTGTGGCAGTGTCACCCACTTCCTGCACCTCTATGTGGGGGTCAGGGTCTGCTCATTGTCCTTTGTAGACCAACTGGAACTTCGTGGCTGATGTGACTTAGTAGTTGGGAGCCATCTCAGCGAGGTAACTTCATGGAACCATTTTCTGGATAAGCCCCATTAAAAAAAAAAAAGAGACAATTGTTATTTTCAATCAATAATAAAATGAAACTATACACAAAATTAAAAAAAAAATAAAACCATTGTTGAATGTAATGAAATGTCTCTGAAATGTGATTGAGATGGCTCTCCACAATTAGGTCACATTAGTCGCAGGAGTCATGTTTGGCCTACTGAAGTCCGGAACCAGAACCTGGCCCCCCTCATGAAGACACAGAGAGTTAGGGACTATTATCATTGCCCCAAATGGAAGAGCAACCAGGAAGTCAGTGAAGCTTTACAAATAATTGCAAGGTTCATAGAAAGTGAAACACTAAAATGGCCAAAGGGCTCTGCAACCTATTTAGGCAAAAACAATCAAATCACTCTAACAAGCATCAACCCGTTTGTATTGATAGCCACCATCAGATGGCCCAAGACCCCTGCTTATGCTTGCTCCACCCCCACAATCTGGAGCTGATAGAGAATGAACTGACAAATTGACAAAACTGGTAGTTAAGGAGGAAGTCAGGGGGGCACCAGGGCTCCACCAGTAAGAAGCATTTCATTACATTTAATGCTGGTTTTCTGGAGCAGCCACTTAGTGGGCTGTGGGACCCCCTGGAGCTAATTGACCACAAGAAAACTGGATTACTCGGGGAGGAGGAGAGATGACAGGTACTGGGACAAAGAGGGATCCACAGACTGGAAAACTCTAGGTCAGAGCCACACAAGACTGACTGGGACCTGGGACATTAACCAAACACTGGGCCACTGAGACCCCCTAGCTGACTAGGGGCTGCTAAGTCCGCAGGCTGGCTAGAATTTGACACTGCGGACGACCTGGAAAATACGACCACCGCATCTGGGCATGTGTGGCATTGGGTAGAGTGACTCAATGGCACACATGTTGATTTCCCCCTCTTTTGGGGGTTATGGATATCTACTTTACTCCACTCCTGGTGACTTACCCTTTGTGTTTTCCTCTTCCCCTTTGCCACCTGGTGTTGGGCAGCTGATACTGGTGGGTGAACTGCATAACTTCCAGGTAGATTGTTTTGGTGTTTTGTTTACCATGCTGTTGTCTGTTTTATTTTTCTCTACCTTTCTAGTAGTCTCTCTTGATCTTGGTTATATAGTATCCTTAGCTCCTGCACCTCTGTAGAGAGGGAGCCAGAATTTGGACTGCTTACTAGTAAGCTTACAATGACTTGCAAGGAGATGGTGCAATATGAATTGGGTGGAGGTGATAAGGTTGCTAACAAAAGGGCATCACCGAGGACCAACCAGAACGAGGCATTTCACTACATTCAATGCTGTTTTATTCAGGTAAAAAGAAATAATAAAGAATCGGTGAAAATAAGCCATAAAGACCATGATTTGGCAATGGCTTTGGCTCTTTCACGTTCAGCTGCTGAAGAAGAAGCTGAAATGAGATCTTCCAGGGAAGAGAAATTGCTAGCAATGGGTTTGGAGCAGATTGTGGATGAAGACAGAAAGATGCAGCCCCTAATATTTCCTTTTCCAGAAACAGGTGTGTATTTTAAATAAATAAAACTATTTTGTGTGTCTATTTATAGTATTGTGCTATTTATCCAAGTTATGGTGTCTGATTAAAATAATGGGAAATATTGCAGTTTTGTATAAATATTCTGTGATGTGGTGGTATTGATGATGATGATGATATTGGTGGTAGGGTTATTGTTTGTTAGTGGTGGCATGGTTTGTAATTTTTTGGTGTTGGTGTTGGAGTTGCATTTTGTGGTGGGGCCAAATGGTTGCTCCCTGCAGCTACTTGCACTTAGATAGCTCCACACATGAGAAACCTCAACTCTGCTGGAGACCAGAGCCAGAACCTGGTTCACTCAGAGGTGTGGGGAGTAGGGCGGCTTCTTATGGTCACCCTCAATGAAGAAACACAGAAAGTACTGTATGTAAAACTTAAGAGGCATAATTCATATATAGAGAAAATGAAGCAGCAAAAATCTCCACAAACAACCCACCCAGTAGTTAGAATGCACCCACCCCTAGTTACAGCTGGCCACCACCAGGTGGCAGCACCACTGGGAGCTTCCACATTAACAATCCTTAGTACTTTGTCTGATTTCCATCAGTTGGGATTGCTCCTCGAGTCTCCAGTCTTTTGGGTCTGAATTATTTCATAGATAAGTGTTAGCTATCCTCTGAACTCTGTCCAGTGGGAGAACATTTGCTTGTGTACTGTTTGAAGATTTAGTGTTGGCTTTATTTGTGTGTTTACAAACTTGTGTGAATTTTGGAAACTTTTCACTTGAAGCTACATGAGCTTATGGATGCCTTGCCTAAGCACTCATCTAGTGATGCTACAGCTTGACAGATTGGTAAGTTTGGGAGTGCTCCACAAACACACACAACCCACAACCCTGGTTGTGGGTTGTGTGCTAACTGCTCCCCTGACAACACCTGGCTCCACCTGCCTCCCCTGACAACACCTGCCTCCACCTGCCTCCCCTGACAACACCTGCCTCCCTGGCTCCACCTGCCTCCCCTGACAACACCTGGCTCCACCTGCCTCCCCTGACAACACCTGCCTCCCCCTGCCTCCCCTGACAACACCTGCCTCCACCTGCCTCCACCTGGCTCCACCTGCCTCCCCTGACAACACCTGCCTCCACCTGCCTCCCCTGACAACACCTGCCTCCACCTGCCTCCCCTGACAACACCTGCCTCCACCTGCCTCCCCTGACGACACCTGCCTCCACCTGGCTCCCCTGACAACACCTGCCTCCACTGACAACACCTGCCCCCACATGCCTCCCCTGACAACACCTGCCTCCACCTGCCTCCCCTGACAACACCTGCCTCCACCTGCCTCCCCTGACGACACCTGCCTCCACCTGGCTCCACCTGCCTCCCCTGACAACACCTGCCTCCACTGACAACACCTGCCTCCACTGACAACACCTGCCCCCACATGCCTCCCCTGACAACACCTGCCTCCACCTGCCTCCCCTGACAACACCTGGCTCTACCTGCCTCCCCTGACAACACCTGCCTCCACCTGCCTCCCCTAACAACACCTGCCTCCACCTGCCTCCCCTGATGGCACCTGCCTCCACCTGGCTCCACCTGCCTCCCCTGACAACACCTGCCTCCACTGACAACACCTGCCCCCACATGCCTCCCCTGACAACACCTGCCTCCACCTGCCTCCCCTGACAACACCTGGCTCCACCTGCCTCCCCTGACAACACCTGCCTCCCCTGACAATACCTGCCTCCACATGCCTCCCCTGACAACACCTGGCTCCACCTGCCTCCCCTGACAACACCTGCCTCCACCTGGCTCCACCCGCCTCCCCTGACAACACCTGCCTCCACCTGCCTCCCCTGACAACACCTGGCTCCACCTGCCTCCCCTGACAACACCTGGCTCCACCTGCCTCCCCTGACAACACCTGGCTCCACCTGGCTCCCCTGACAACACCTGCCTCCACCTGCCTCCCCTGACAACACCTGGCTCCACCTGCCTCCCCTGACAACACCTGGCTCCACCTGCCTCCCCTGACAACACCTGGCTCCACCTGCCTCCCCTGACAACACCTGGCTCCACCTGCCTCCCCTGACAACACCTGGCTCCACTTGCCTCCCCTGACAACACCTGGCTCCACCTGCCTCCCCTGACAATACCTGGCTCCACCTGCCTCCCCTGACAACACCTGGCTCCACCTGCCTCCCCTGACAACACCTGGCTCCACCTGCCTCCCCTGACAACACCTGGCTCCACCTGCCTCCCCTGACAACACCTGGCTCCACCTGCCTCCCCTGACAACACCTGGCTCCACTTGCCTCCCCTGACAACACCTGGCTCCACCTGCCTCCCCTGACAACACCTGGCTCCACCTGCCTCCCCTGACAACACCTGGCTCCACCTGCCTCCCCTGACAACACCTGCCTCCACCTGCCTCCCCTGACAACACCTGCCTCCACCTGCCTCCCCTGACAACACCTGCCTCCCCTGACAACACCTGCCTCCACCTGCCTCCCCTGACAACACCTGCCTCCACCTGCCTCCCCTGACAACACCTGCCTCCACCTGCCTCCCCTGACCACCCCTGCCTCCACCTGCCTCCCCTGACAACACCTGCCTCCACCTGCCTCCCCTGACAACACCTGCCTCCCCTGACAACACCTGCCTCCACCTGCCTCCCCTGACAACACCTGCCTCCCCTGACAATACCTGCCTCCACCTGGCTCCACCTGCCTCCCCCCTGACACCACCTGAGACCACCTGCCTTCTCTGACACCACCTGAGACCAACTGCCTTCTCTGACAACATCTGACACCACCTGCCTCCCCTGACACCACTTGCCTTCCCTGACACCACCTGCATTTGTATGTTCCACTGTACATTTAGTACCGAATTCAATTTGTTCGGATCATCCGGGAATTCGATAGAGCAGAGTTTGTTAGAGTGAGGAGGCACTGTACTTTGGTCTCTGATAGGGTTGTTTTGTCCTTCCTCTCGTGGTTGTCTTGGGACAGTCATCTTATGCTGAATACTGTTGTCTCCTATCGTGCAGCGTTGGCAGAGCTGTTCCAGTTTGTGTTCTGTATTGATGTTATGTCTGCTCCGTTCTGCAAGTTGTCTCGTGCGTTGTTTCACCTCCGGCCTGATTGTGTTGCCCGAGCCCTCCTGGTCCTTGGACCAGGTGTGCTCTTTCCTCTCTTCTCCCGGTTTGTGGTGGCTCCTTCGGTTGAGGATTGTTTTTCTGCTCTTTTCTTCGGTTGCAGCCGTCTCCTTCTTTTCTGGCGAAGAATGATACTGCTGCTTTCCGGAGGGGTCCTTGGGTTGCTGATGCTTGGTTGGTCAGGCCGGGGTACATCATGTGTGTTGTGTCCGTTTGCGGCCCTCCGTAAAGAACAGTAGGAATTGCTAAAGAGAGGAAAATATACGGCATACATAGACACGATAAAGCCCCTAAACTATTGGGATAATCTCAAAGTTCTCCAAATGTGCTTCCCAGAAAGGAGATGAGAGATATATGAAATAATATATACACTGGTACATGGAAACTACTGGAGGGACAGGTCCCAAATTTACACAGTAAAATAACAACATACAGGAGTGAATGATATGGAAGCAAATGCAGAAGAGAACGAATGGAAAAATAGAGGCGCCATAGGCACAATATGAGAACACTGTGATCATCAGAGGTCCACGGTGTTCAACATCCTTCCAATGAGTATAAGAAATATTGCTGGAACAAAAGTGGTTGTCTTCCAGAGAAAACTGGATAGTTTTCTTCAAGATGTGCTGGGCCAATTCAGCTGCAGTGGATGTATGGGCCTGCAGGCCGCTCCAAGCAATAGTCTACTGGACCAAACTCTCACAATTCCAGCCTGGCCCCCAGGTTGGGGAGTTGAAGATTTCTCAGAACCCCAACCAGGTACAATCTAGATACAATGGTATGCATATATTTATACATATATCTGTACATATGTATATTTTCAAAGTTATACATAATGAAGAGCACCATTGACTCTATACAACTTGTTTGAACGAAAAAAACTCCATTGATTGTAATGAAACGCAAATTTCGGAGTGAGCCCTGGAGGCTCCTTGAAGCTGCCTACTGATTGTGCCGTACTACTAGGAGTCATCAGTCGCAGAGTTCGTGATACCTACCGGGAACCAGGGGCCCCCCCTCAAAGAGGTGCAAGGAGCAACGGCTCATGAACACATTAAATGTAAAGTTTATCATCTTGCCATCAACCAGGATAGCACCCAGAAAGGTAGTCAAATCAAATCAAAACAGACTTCTGCATAGTTGAAAAATAAAATCAGCACCCTCAAAGTATCAAAACCATAGCCCCCCTCTCACTAATTAGCTCCCCCCCCCCTATTTAGGGGAGGGGGCAGCCATCCTGGGTCAGCCGGGCCAATACTGGTCAGTTCTGGAATGATGAAAATCCATCGACTGTAACGAAGAAGTGTCAGGGAGCCTCTGGGACTTGCCGAGAAATTGGGATTTCATTACATTCAACGCTGGTTTTCTGTGGTTAGCCCCGTCAGCTTCCTGAATTTAACTATGCACAGAGAATGGAAAAATGGAGGATATACCAGGGAGGCAGAAGTACCATAGATAACAACCCAAAGGCAAGACTGACAGGCATGACAGACAGCTCAGGACAATGCAAGGTCACTGAGAACCAGGGCAGCGACAAGCCACCAAAACCCCGGTCACCCACCAAAAAACTCTCGCGCTTGAATATCTGCCCAAGACATAAGCGAAAACAGTTGTCAGAGTTGACCCAGAAATCCTCTGACACCACCTGGTCGAGGGAGGGGGGGGGGGGGATTGGACAGAAAAGGGGTGAACAATAACCAAAAGGGAATGAAGAGGTGCAGATGGAGCCAAGGTAGATGTTACCAAACAGCTCCAGCTCCAGATCCCTACCTACCAATGGGGCAGCTCCAGGGCATCCAACCGGGCACTCAGCCCAGGCTATTGTAACTTAGAAAAATGAACTGAAAAAGCGGTCACTATGAAAAGCCCGAATCGCATCAGAAGGGCCAAAAGGAAGAGCATATGGGGAGGAGTAACCCCCCACAGAATTCATGGACGAAGGTATCACCGACTCAACTGGCAACAGAGTGAAGGCAGATGAACATAATGCCATCATGTGGCACAGATGACGTGCAACCCTCAAACTTATGGAGAGAACAGGTTCAGTGTGGATATCCATGGGACCATCAAACCCACAGGAAATTTCAAAGACCAGCAAAGATGTAACCTAAGCAGGATACCCAGTCACTAGGATGCTATGCTGGACCTTTAGTTGAAGATTGTTGATCAAATCTATATAGATATATGACAAATGTATAGAAAAACAACATAAGCAAGCGAACATAGCCCTATCCACACAACCATGAAGACCGACATCAGTGCTCTATAGTGTAGCATGCGAATACTCGGTGCCCTATGCCAACCAATGTAACTCCCAATTTGAGTGAAAACAGGAAGGTCCCTAAGCACCTGACACTCTTATTGAGGGCCACTGTAGGCGAGAAGGACCTTTGAGGGAGCGACCCCTGAACACTCCATGGAAGATGGCCCTGGCAAAGCATTGACAGTACTAGGGAGCACACAGGAAAGATAACCCCGAGCACCTGCAGCTCCAAGCGTTCTTGAATATTGGCTCTTGCTACACGACACTGAACAGGAAATGCCACCAAGGGTGAAACTATTAATTTATTGAAGTAGCAGAACAACGGAGCAGAGCAGAAGAGACGCAACCAGACATCCACTAAATCAGCATTGTACTGAGGGTCGAGCTGCCATCTGACCATGGGCTGTGCATCCACCGTCCTCTCCTTAAACGAGTTGGGGAGGTGGGGCAAACAAGCTTGAGATTCAAGAGAATTCAATCGTTTGTTTACATAGATGGGGAGTTCTTTTGGAGGTACTTGAGGCTGCAGTCTCTATTGAAGCCAGCAGTGGTTTGTTTTCTCTCGCTGACTTTCTGGTTGCTTCTACTGGTGGTGGTATAAATAAACAAAAAAATGTCATCGCTCCCTGTGCTTCTGAGTGGTGGTGGTGGTGGTGGGGACAGGTTCTAGTACTAATACCCAGTAGGTCCTATCAATATATGATATCTTTAGGGAGCCACCGGGGCTCACTGAAAAATACATAAAGATAGTTATATATCTGATAAATCTATGCTCTAAATTGATGGGGAATCCTTCTGCCTTGGTTATTCATTTGAAGCCTTTTATTGCATTGTATATTGTGTTAACAGGTAACCAAAGAGCCATCGCATCTCAGACAAGAAACAGAGGACGAAAGCGTCAAGGAAATTTTAGCAAAACACTTCTAGCTACCCGTTCTGTTGAGGAAAGGGAAAGACTTATTAGTGAAAAAGTTGCATCTATTTTAACTTCTGAGGATACGCCAAGAGTCAGCTGGCAAAACGAAGGAAATTCTGGTGCAAAAGGCCATCTTTCAAAGTTTAGGAATGAGGTACAGTAAATGTAATTTGTATAAATTTGTATTCAGTACAGTGTGTGTGTGTGTGTGTGTGTGTGTAATTACCTAAGTGTAATTACCTAAGTGTAGTTACAGGATGAGAGCTATGCTTGTTGTGTCCCGTCTTCCCAGCACTCTTTGTCATATAATGCTTTGGAACTACTGACGGTCTTGGCCTCCACCACCTTCTCACCTAACTTGTTCCAACCATCTACCACACTGTTTGCGAAAGTGAATTTTCTTATATTTCTTCAGCATCTGTGTTTAGATAGTTTAAATCTGTGATAGTTTAAATCCCCTTCCCGTTTGTGTGCCGGTGGCTGAGCGGACAGAACATTGAACGCGTGATCCTGTGGTCCCGGGTTCGATCCCGGGCGCCGGCAAGAGACAATGGGCAGAGTTTCTTTCACCCTGATGCCCCTGTTACCTAGCAGTAAATAGGTACCTGGGAGTTAGTCAGCTGTCACGGGCTGCTACCTGGGGGTGGAGGCTTGGTCGAGGACCGGGCCGCGGGGACACTAAGCCCCGAAATCATCTCAAGATAACCTCCCCTCCCGGTGAGGTTAGGGTTACGCAGACAGTAACAGGATGACGTGGTGACGTCATGCTCGTTTACGTGTTTTCATTTGGAGAGTTCTGTCCACTGCTTCGGCTTTCAGTAGCAATATTTTAACCAGATAAGATTTGTTTTGGGGTGCTTACCTTTCTGGGTGCCTGACCCGGTTGATGGTAGACACAGAATTCTTCCAACCACACAGGGGTTTCCATAGGCCTAGAACTCCATGTACATTGACTGATGCCAGGGTCTAATACTCATATCAGTCCAGTTAGCTCTGGGGAGCCTCCGGGTCTCACCCAGAAAATGGTGTTACATTACATTCAATGCTGGTTTTTCCCAGTAGTGGGCTCAGATTTGATTCCCACTCATTGTTTTCATTAGAGGAAGGAAGTGAAATGGCACTTGCTTCTGGTGGGCAGAAAAGGGCATTTTATTGCATTAAACACACATTTATTCTTCTTTTTATAAATTCTTCTTTTTAGAAGCACATTTAGTGTGTCTCCACACCATGAAAATGTGGATGGAATTACTTGTACTCTATAGCTTCATTTAAGACACACATTTATAAATGTTAAAATCTGGTATTATAGGTTTTTCAGTAACATGTAAGTCATGTTACTGAAGGTAAATAGGTAAAGGCAAGACAAGGTAAATAATGTAAATAAAATAATTATACTATAATATATTAAATTAGATGCACTGTATTTTCCTACTTCATTACTCCAATATACATTTTGCTTTGAAAAAATATTCCACAAGTGCATTCTCTTAATCCACAGGCTTGCAAGTTATGGAAAACTGCTCATAAATGTGCAGACCAACCTCTTGAAGACTTCTATGTTCCTGAGCTTGAGCCATATATTAAACCACAAAGCATTGCTGTCGGAGGACTTTTAAGAAGACTATCACAGATCCCTGGACGCTTAAACCTGACTTCTCTACAATCCATAAGTGATGAGGTAAAAATGCTTAACAGGAAACAAAAACTAATTATGATATTACAGTAAGCAATTGGAAGTAATATATTTATTATTATGATTTATATGTATAAACACACTATTGTGAAAGAAGTGTAGTCATTGCATTTTAGTTAATAACATTTTAAATTTGATAGCTGGGAGGCCTCCTCGGTACCTATCCATAGCTTGCACTTTTGTGTTGCAAAGTCTTGAGAAGTGTACCATACCTCTTGAGTCAGAACCAGAATCTGGTTCAATCTACAAGGCAAGGGAAACTTGGGGATCATATGTCGACCGAGCACCAAGAAAGAACACACCAGATAGGTGAAACAAAATAAATTACTGCTCGTAGATAGAAACAAATTAAGGGAAACGATTGTTGCCGTGGCCAGTAGCATTAAGTTGACCAGACCACACACTAGAAGTTGAAGGGACGACGACGTTTCGGTCCGTCCTGGACCATTCTCAAGTCGATTGTGTGTGGTCTGGTCAACATACTTCAGCCACGTTATTGTGACTCATCGCCTCCAATAGCAATAACCTTGATGCACACTTAACCAAAGGTATCGAAAAAATACTTAATAATAATAATAATAATAATATTTTATTTAGGAAAAGTACATACATAGATGCAGAGTTACAAACATTCTGATTGATTTATAGATAGAGCTAGTACATACAATACCTAAAGCCACTAGTACGCATAGCGTTTCAGGCAGAAAGTTAGGGCAAAAATCATTCAAGGCAAAAACATGACAGTTTTCTATTACAAACAGAATGGAAGACAATTAGAACAAGCTAAGTGAGAAGGTGGTGGCCAAAACCATCGGTAGTTTCAGAGCGTTATACTACAAAGAGTACTGGGAAGATGGGACACCATGAGCATAGCTCTCATCCTGTAACTACTCTTAGGTAATTAGCGACTGTCGTGACGTCATGCTTGTTTACTTGTTTTCGATGGGGATGTTCTGCTTCCTAGTTCGGCTTTCGGTCTGAAATTTTAACCAGCTGTTGTTTGTTTTGGAATTCCTATCTTTCTGGGTGCCTGACCTGGTAGGTAGTAGACATAGACTGCTTCCAGTTACATGGGGGTGTCTATAGGCCATTGCTCCTCGTGCCTCACTTTAGGGGGCCAGGTTCCGGCGCTGGTCCCCGGTAGGCTTAGAACTCCTTCGATTGATTGTTGCCATGGTCTAATATATACACATCAGCCCAATATAGCACCGGGGAGTCTCTGGGTCACGTCCAGAAACTTGCGTTTAATTACATTCAACTTTTTTTTTTTTTTACATTCTTATAATCTTGCATATTCAGAGCAAAAAGATTCTTATAATCTTTTGCATATTTTGTAGAGTTGTCATATGAAACAGGTGCACAGTACAGTGGTTAGTACTCGTGTCCTTCCTTTTCCATCTAGAATTATATGATACTCTGCATTCAATTATCAACACTTATGCTGTAGACATAATTGCTGTACCAAATGTGTGTGAATTGCCTCCATGCAGTCTTCAGATATATTACTGGCTTTCGTTTTGTATTTTATTATAGTACAGTACTGTAATTACATTTTTTATTGTATGAATCTAACACTGGATTTCCTTACTTTTACAGAATTCTGACTCAGGATCTGACTGTGGAGAAACATGTGTAGTTGATGGCTACTGCACACAGTTGGCCCTTGCTGAGCTCTTGGGTTCTCAAGATTGTCTTAACCTCACCCGAGATTCTCTCTTCTTAAAAGAAGACGCAGTTGCTCCTCAAACTCTGGAGTCATTGCCAGATCCAAATGTAACCTTAGAACCTGCCAGTGGCTTTTGGGTTGTTCGTACAACAGAAAGTTTAGGAAGTGGCGAAACTGCACTAAAGTGTAATGAAGATTCAAGTCAGATTTCTAGTGAGAATCATGAAGATAACCATTACTGTAATTTTGCTGTAGGAAGTATTACTAGTGGAGATGGTGGCAAGACTACTGAAAAATTAGTATTAGATCGAAATAACGACAATATAAGTGAGACAAGTGATAAAAGTAGTGAGAGTAATGATGAGTCTTCACCTGTTAAGGCTGCTCAGCTGCGATGCTTAGTGACAAAAAATGTTACAAGTGTTGGTAGGAAAACTGAGAGAAAGTTGAGGAATTCTTCAGAAAGAACCACAGTGTATAAGGAAGATACGAAGTGTGATGAACTTAACCACTTGAGTACTGATGGTATCGATGGAGGTTTAGTTGATAATGTATCTGTAGACAATAACTGTCGGGAAGATCATTTTGAAAGTGATGCTGGACATTGTGAGAAAACTCTACAGTTTAAAAATAATCAGCATATCAGCACTTGTAATCCTGATTGTGAAGTGATAGCTGTTTTAAATAATAGTTCTGAACACACAGTAATTGCTCCAGTAGAGAGCCATCCTGCTACCTGTTCAAAATTACCATCTGCATGTAGTGGAAGTGAAGTTCAATATTCCTGTAGCTTGCAGCAGGCAGTAACCAACAGAGAAGAAACCTTGGTTCTTAGCACTCTTGATGAAAACAGTAAGTTTTCTGAAAGTTCAGGTGGTTCAGAAGCAACTCGCATATTTTTGGAGGATGATTATCAAAATTCTTTCTGTAATAGTTCACAAAAACTACTCAATGTTGAAACTTTTGCCGTCACTGATGACTCGGAGGGAAGAGAGACTAACAAATGTTACGCACTAAGAGAAAGGATTAATGGTGATGGTGTGAAAGATGTAGACTCAACACGGGAGGAAATCCCAGATGAAAGTGAAAAGTCTCGGTGTTTGCAAGAGAAGTTCATTTATGATTGGAGCAACTTTTTCTCTAATGAAAAGAAAAGTGATGTCACAGTGACAGTATTAGATGGTAGTGTTATCTTAGCTCACTCTCTGGTGTTTTTTGTAAGATGCTCACTGCTCTATAATGAAGTGATAGATGGAGGGATGGACATACTCTGGGATGAGGCTACATATGAAGGAGCAACGAGATTTTTAGTATACATATATACCGGTACCTGTAATATAGAGAGAAAAAGTGATCCACTATGGGTGGAGGTCTATGAATTGGCTCTTAAGTACAAGTGTGAGGAGTTGGTATCATATCTAAAATCTCTTGACATAACTGACATTACTTCAGTCAATGCTAAATCATCAATACAAACATCCAGAATCTGTGAGAGAGTGAGTGCTGCATCAGATTCAGATTCTTACATTCTCAAACCTCCAATAAGATCATCCTTGCAAGAAACTAATGAACAAAGTGGTAGAAGAGTTAGGCAAAATCTTAATTTGTATTCTTTTGACACACACACTGTTTTACCTAAAAGTCCTAAAAGCAGTATATCACAAGCAGACAGTGATAAACTGAAAGAGTTCTCAGAAAATAGTACTTCGGTATCAGAAGGCATCCAGATCATGGAGTCTCAGTCGCCCGACATATTTGATGAACCAGTTCTGGCTAAAGATGTTAGTTTCATCTCTACTCCATCTAATTCCCCTCCAGCATCAGTCAGTGTTGACAAATCACCATTGTATGATGGTACTCATGCAATTCATTCAGAACCTGTTTTGATATCCAAGAAAACTTGCAGGAATGCTGACTCGAGTCAGAATTTTGGATCGACGGTGCATGTTACTGAAAGTAATGTGACAAATTTAGTGGGGGACCAGGCTCTCGTTTATACACCGATTTATGAAAAGGTAAAGACTGCATATAATGTAAACCCCACTGAACAAAAACGAGCCAGTAGTGTTTGTGGTCAAGCTAGTTGCCCGTCAAGTGGGAAGAATAATATGGATTGTGAAGGATCTTCAACGCTGTTGAAAGTAAGTGATGAAAACAAACTTACCGACTGTCCAGATGCAGGAGACGATTTGATTGATCTAACTCTCACCAGCTGTGAGAACTCTCCTGCAAGTTGCACTAACAATGATATGCCAAGTTTACCTGGTGATAAAAATAATGCTTTGGATTTGGATCTTTTAGAAGAAATGGAACCCTTGAAGCTGTGGGGTGATTCAGATAGTCCTGAAACAGATGAAGATGCATGCCAAGAAGAACCAGCTAGGGCATTTAATCATGATGGCTCAGGAGCTGGAAACCTACCTGAAAATAATAGACTAGGACAGGAAAAAGAGGATGTAAATGAGACATATATCAATAATGTTTGGGAGGATTTTGATGATGTAGAGAATGATATGTCAGTTCCAGTAGATGTGTGTCAAACACCTGTGAAAAACACACTTAGATCTGATTCTAGTGCTGATCCAGTTCATGTTGTTTTACCAGTATCAAGACCTTATCCTAGTAAAAAGAGGAAAAGACTTTCCATCAGTACAGAATCTGACACCGAGACCATTTCTCAGTGTGAGCCAATGGCTTCTGGATTATTATATAAATCTTCTGGTAAAGAAGCCACGGCAAGAAAATATTCAGGGCGGGTTCACTCTGTATCCATCACTAAAAATATAGATACAGTATCAGACGCCACTACAAAATCTAAGGAAGCCAATGCAATGGCATTAAATTTGTCTATTAGTGATGAAACTATGCTTAAAATATCAGATCTTGATTGTGAAGAAGTTGAAAGTGTCAAAGGTTGCAAACGCTTGTCTGCAAAATTAAATGAATCTGAAAATTTTCATGTTCCTCTTGCTGATCTAATGACTCCTCAACCAAAACAAACTTCAAAAAAACAAATTGTGACACCCTTTCCTGATTATAAGAATATGTCATCACCAGATCTTAAGGTAAGATATACAGATCTTAAGGTAAGATATACAATTTTTCAGCTAAGTCCTTTTGGGTCTTGGCCTTTGTGGCATTTTTGTTTACACTGTTGTGTAGTTTCAATTTAGCACCTGGGAAAGAAAGCCCTGAGCACATGCAGCTCCAAGCTTTCTTTCCCCGGGTGCTCCCTAGCCCCTAGCACAACCCGTGCACTGACAGTTCTCTTCCCTGGTTTGTTCACAGGTTCTTAGAGTTCCTCCTTGATTCTGATAGCCTTTGCCTAGGGTGAGTCGGGGGTTTTATGGTCCCTCTGTCTTGATCTGGGTCAGGAGTGACATTGGCTGGTGGGGCCTTGACAGCAGTGTAGCCTAGGCTGTGTTGGCTTTTGGGTCTGGCATAGTGGCCCCCGGTGCCTGAGTGTCTCACTTGGTTTACCCTACGGGGCCTGGACATCCTCCTTGGGTTTAGTGTGGCCAAATAATATCCCCTCCAAACCCGCTCTTCCCTAGTACATATTTGAGGGTTGTTCTTCGTCTGTGCCACAGGGGTGACAATCATTAATTCGGCCTCTGACCCAACAAGCCATGCTGCTTTTTAAGTTTGACAGTTGCAACCCTGAGTGTTGTAGGGGGTCTGCGCTCTCCATGTGACTATTATCGGACCCTCCTGATGAAGTTAGTGTTTGTCAAGCAGCAACCACTATGCAGGGTTATTTTGCATGCTTCCAGAGGTCTCAGTTGAGTGCCAGATTGGATGTCACAGAGCTGCCTCAACTGGCATTTAGGGACCTGTAATTGGAGGTTTTGGTGATCTTCCCTGTGACTCCATTTAGACCACCACTTACTTCCATTTGGGATGTGGTTCACCCCTTCCTCTGATCTTCCCTCCCCTGCTTCTAGTTGTGAAATGTCAGTGTGTTTCTGGGGTGGGGCAGGATTTAGCTTGGGATGGGGCTTGGCCAGCTTCTGGGGCTGCCCCTTCTGATTCGGGTGTGGTGGCAATTAGTTGAACTGGCTGGTCCCAACGAAGTTCCAGAATTTTCTTTCTATTAACACTTTCTGCTGATGAGGACTCCGCCCGGAGTCCTGTTTCGCCTCACCGCTTCCGCGAGGTGGACATAAATTTATGTCCTCATAAAAAATATTTGTATAAAATTCAATTTTAATCCGATTTACTTTGGGTTTGTTTCAAACTGCGCGCCATGAGGCTCTCTTTCTCACCACTAGGCTGCATGGTACAATAAGTTCATGAAAGGTGTGGACCACTTCGATCAAATGGTATTACCATTTTACCCGGAAAACTCACAAGTGGACCTAAAAGATAACGTTTTATTTCCTGCAAATGGCTTTGCATAATGCCTTTGTTTTGTACAAATACAACACAACTGATCAAAAAAAGCTAACATTGCTACAGTTCCACGAGGTGGCAAATTGGGCCCTATTGTGCTGGGACCCGGAAGATTGGCCTCAAACAGCAACAGTATCTCAACACTTGCGGCACGCTCCAGACATAAATGATGACACAGGTCCTGCCTATGCTGACGCCATGCAAACTCCTGGACCATCTGGTGTGAGGCGGCCCTTGTTCACTTCAACACCTCAAGCTGAAGCAGCAACCGAATCAGAACCCGAGATGTCTGGCACACTGCCATTTGACGAGACGGTTTTGTCAGATGACTCTGACTCAAATGTTGAACCTCCAGCGATTCAGTTGATTCTGAAAATCGCATGAACTACAAACTGAAACGAGTATTTTGATACCAGAATGAACACTGTATCACATAAACTGCCATAAGTAGACTCGAACCTTCATAGATTTTTTTTGGGGTGTAGCGTGTGTCTGCATGAGTGTCCCAAACGGGTTGCAGATGGGTGACTTTAGCCGTTTATACTGGTAATGTATTTTGTATTTTGATACCAGAATGAACACTGTATCACATAAACTGCCATAAGTAGACTCGAACCTTCATAGATTTTTTTTTGGGTGTAGCGTGTGTCTGCATGAGTGTCCCAAACGGGTTGCAGGTAGGTGAATTTAGCCGTTTATACTGGTAATGCTTCCCCCTTATCATGTATTATATGCATATGTCTGTTTAGGGAATTTTATTCCGATCAATGTACAACCAAAAATAACTGTGTGCAACAAGTATAAACTTGACAAACATAACAAAAGTAAAAACATTTCGTGTGTGTTTGACGCTCACTGATATGTTCCAGCGTTGTTTTATATTTGGCGCTATTCTATCTTACGCTTTGTTGATCTTTTTTACCTACGGGCTCATAGAACATTCTATTGTGAACACATTGACACAAAAATGAATGACATACATAGAATAATAATGTCAGGACAGTGAAATAAGTATAAACTTTCAAAGCGCCGTATCGCACGTGTCGTCCCGTCACCGATACCGGGTAACAATTTCACCACTTCGCACACTCTTGCGGGTGGGCCGCGATCATTATTCTACGTTTATATTCATATCACCGTGTTGGGAATTTCATTGCGAGTCCATTGATACCAAAATTAACGCTGTAGGACAAGTGTGGAGGTGATAACAATCCCAAGAGTAAAAACATTTTGTTGCTGTTGGGCGCTCACGGCGAGTCATCTTCGTAGTTATTTATTTGGTGCTGGTATCCCTATACGTTTCGTGACTTTGTTTACTGATGTTCTTCTAGAGAATTTTATTGCGAACACGTTGGTACCAAAATGAAATACGTAGCTCGAGAACTAAGGTCAGGAGAGTAAAAAGAGTATACACATTTTTGTTTTTACGCTTAAGCGACAAAAACGCCGCGCGCACATACCGTTTTTTTTTTTTTACCTTCGCCGGGCGCGCGAAAGTGTTAAGTTATGTTCTGAGCTATCTCAATGCTGTTAGCCACTGAGGTCCAACCAGAAAGAGGCATTTCATTACATTCAATGCAGGTTTTCTGGTTGGGGGGGGGGCGGAGTCAATTGTTAGCTTCTGGGAAGCTTTATCTCAAAGACTGCTTCCCATTACTCAGTCTCATCAGTCATGTGCTTCCTGCTGACCTACTGGGAATCAGAACCAGTACCTGGGCCCCGTCACAGAGGGAAATCGTTATGATCACCCTCACCAGGAAAGCCACCAGAAAGTAGACGAGACAATACTGTACAGACAACTGCATGATCAATGAAAATGAGCACCAAAACAGCCAAGAGACACTGTGAATGATCCATTCAAAATATAATGGTTCACTAGAAACTTGGTACAAAATACTGTACCACCTTGTGCACAAAGCCACCAACAGCTGGCATTCTGGTTTCAGGTCAGCATCCTAATAGGAACTGAACCATCTTGATCTCTTAATTGTGTGTTGGTTTTTCTTTTAACCCTCAAACTGCTAGGGGCCCAAATGGAATTCACACCCACAGGCGCAACAAAAAAAAAAAAATCCAAAAAATTCTTTCGTCTTATAGAAGTGTTCATTTTTGTTCCCTGATCAAGCAAAAAAATAACAAAAAAATCGTAGGTGGAATATTTTAGCCGCAATAGGGTAGGGAAGTGTGGCAAAAAAAGGTGCGTTGGCAGAGCCTTCGCTAGACGAGGTCTACTCCGCCCGAGCTGTCAGACGGCAGTTGCCACAAATAAATTATTACCTAATTATTTCAATGTCTCTGATTGATTTTTTCTTATTTTTTTTTTTTTGCAGTAATATTATTCCATACAGTGAATTGTGGTATATTTATATAATAAAATGTGTGAACCATCGCTGTACTCAAAATTATGGTGTGCATATTAGTGAATCAATTATGATGTTCATAAAACAATAAACAAATAGTTTTGCTGTTGTTACACTATATACACAGGTTATATATAAGTATCTGCATGTTTTGTTCACCATAACGAACTACTAAGTTGGTCTTGCGAGTCAAAAAGCAACGAGGAGTGACCGCCAAACACCAGCAAGCCACTCACTGCCACTCCCTCCCTCAACACCACCTCACTTGCCCTCATTCTCCTCCCACAATACTGTTTTTGCATTTATTCACTATACACAGACGTTATATATACGTATTTACATGTTTTGTTCACCATAACTGTACATCGAAGCTTGTATGGTGAGTAAAGGCACAAAGACGTAGCTACTCAAATAGTCAGCTGATCGGCGGCCACCCTCAGAGCCAGATGCACTAATATTTCTCCTCCAACAATATTGTTTGTGGTGTTATTATGCTATATACACACATTATATATAAGTATCTACCTGTTTTATTCACCATACCTGTACAAATAAGTTGGTATGGTGCCCAAAGACCATAGTGGCCACCAGTAAACAACATGCCAAGTCGTGCAGACAACGCTCCTCCCTCACCAAAATGGCGGCTCCCAACCTACCTACTCTCGCTGTTATCTCACACTATACACACGTTATATATAAGTATCTACATTTGTGTTCACCATAGTGAACCACTAAGCTGGTATGGTGAATGCAGTCAATATAAGGTGGCCACACACAGTTAGAAGACAATGCCACAACCCTCCCTCCACAGCCTTACTCCTCCCTCCATGGAGCACAGCGCTAAATATCACCACAATCCTGCTATTATCAGAATCCTGGTCAGTTTTATCACAGTCAGGGGGCTTCAGTAATACTATCACTGCTAAATAATAGCAGTATCATATATATTATGGCATTTGTAGGCGATGCTGTGGTCACAAGCTGAACAGCGGTGCTGTGAGCTCGTGTTGCGTGCGCCAGCCTTGGTGGCTTGCTCAATTAACCCTTTAACTGCGCATCGCCTGCAGGTCCAGGCTTCGGGTGCGCAACGCGCCTCCCGGTGTTTGTATTTTTCATGTCCAATTTAAAAGTGGCGCGCGGTGACGTGGGTATGGAATGGATGGCTGGGGGCCCCAGTGATCGTCCGCCATCTTGAAAAAAAATCCCAGCATGCCCCGCGGCCGTGGGGAGCCCCAGTTCCCAAGCAGCAACCATGTCTGACGCATCGTCAACGAGCTCCCGTTCCACGGCGACCCGCGGTCATGGAAAACGACTCTCTGAGGAGGAAATTCGCGATATATTGTACGACGACGGTGCTATGGATGATGACCTGGACTATGATCCAGAGAAAGATCTGACACAGAGGTCTGATACGAGTGAGGGGGAAACAGAAGTGGATGATGTGGCGAGCGTGTACGGTACACGCTCCTCGCCCGGCCTGTCTCGCCGCCCTGGGTCAACACCGTTATCATCACCACCATCATGTATGTCCCCAGATGCTAGTTCATTATTCAGTGACAGTACATGTGACGAATCTTTCTCGGGGTTCAGCGACATTGGCTCCGATACGAGTAGTGTGGACGACCCCAGTACTAGCAGTGGGGGTGGTACCAGGCGGGGTTTTGCTGCCTCAGCAACACGTGGAGGCAGGCGGCAGCGTGTCTCCCAGCATGACGACAGTGGGCCCTCAACATCAGGTGTTCGTGGTAGGCCTACGGTACGGAAATCTGCCTCAGCGTCAAGCATACCCTCACGCAGCTCCAGCAGCAGCAGCAGACGACGTAGCCGTGGTTTTGGTGCCCGTGGTGGTGTTGGCCGTGGTGTTGGCGCCAACACCAAACCCCCTGGTGTACTTGTGTGGGAGGATTGCGCCACATTTGTCCCCCAAATACCAACGTTTGATGATACCGACGTTGGTGTTACAGCTTTATTCCCGTATACCGGTGATGATATGGCGGACATGGAATATTTCCAGGCATATTTCGACAATGTCTTCATGGACCATCTTGTGACCGAGACAAACACATACGCCCACACCCTCATAGACGGCGGCATATTACCTGCCTCACGCCTCACGCGATGGAAGGATACGACAATCGACGAGATGTACGTGTTTCTCGCTCTATGTATGATGATGAAACACTCCGAGAAAGCTGTCGTCCAGGACTATTGGAACAAAGACAGCCTTGTTCCATCGCCCATCTTCAACCGGTATATGTCGCGGGATAGGTTTCTGTTGATTCTGAGGTGCCTGCATTTCGAAAACAATGCAAACGAGGACAGGCACGACAGACTGTGGAAGGTACGCAAGGTATTCAGCGACCTGAGAGGGAAGTTCAGGGATTATTTTGTACCTGGACAGAATGTCGTTATCGACGAGTCGCTTGTATTGTTCAAGGGCAGACTGGCATTCAAGCAGTACATCCCTTCCAAGCGGCACCGTTTTGGCCTCAAGTTTTTTGTGCTGTGCGATTGTGAGACTGGTATCGTCCTGGACATGATCTTGTATTCCGGTACAGACGTCGACATACCAGCTCAAGATGAACACGGGTTCTCCGGCAGTGTCGTAAAAACCCTGATGGAGCCGTTGCTGAACAAGGGCCATATACTGTTCACGGACAACTATTACACCAGCCCCCTGTTGACCAGATACCTCCTCGCCCACAACACCGGCGTATGTGGCACTGTGAAGCTCATCAGGAAGGAAATGCCAGTGTTCGGTATAGGTATAGGTGTGGGTGAGTGCCAGCTGCGCAAGTGTGACAATATGCTGTCAGTGCAGTGGAAGGACAGACGCGAAGTGAATATGCTGACAACGATTCACACCGGTGCCATGTTGGACACTGGCAAGGTCCATTTTCAGACACACAACCCCATGTACAAGCCGGACTGTGTCATAGACTATAACGTGAACATGCGCCTCGTCGATAAGTGTGACATGATGCTTGGTGGTGTGGAGTGCGTACGCAGGTCAGTGAAGTGGACGAAAAAGTTCTTCTTCCACCTCATGGATGTTGCAGTGCTCAACTGCTACAATACGTACCTGGTGAAGTCCGGCAGGAAACCGTCTATACGTACCTTCAGTGCCAGCGTGGTGTCACAGCTGCTGGTAAAGTATGGCAAGGAGGGCTCCGTAGTACCCCGCGGGGTGCAAGCAACAATGCCACACGCAGCCCCAGACAGACTGCGGGGTAATGAGAACTTCGGGGTACACATGCTGGAGTATATGCCAGGCACAGCATCACGGGAGAAGGGTAAACGTGCATGCATAGTCTGCAGGAACACCACACGCAGACCACAAAAGCGTAGATGCATCAGCACCTGGTGCGTGGAGTGCAAGGTGCCACTCTGCCCCGTTGGCTGTTTCGCAGCATATCACACACTCGCGGAGTACTGAGTGTGTGTATAGTGTGTGTATATAGTGTGTGATACTGTACAGTGTGTATATATAATGTACATATAAATATATTTGCGTGATATATTAGAAATAAGTGCAGGATAAGTGTACCTTTTTGTGATGCATGTAACACAGTGTCTACGGACAGTACGGATGTTCTACTGCCATAATATGGTGTACGTGTTCACCATACATCGGTTCGGCACGTAAAATGTAATAAATTGTATTTGGAACTGTGCGCAAAAAATGTGCAAAAATATATTCGCGGCAACTCGCGCGCCCCGCCCCGGGCGCCCCACCGGCCCCGGGAGCATACTGCACGGGCGCATGGGGAATGATGACGTCACGCCCCACCTTTCGGACCCCATAGCTGCCAAAGTAAGTACAATTTCGAACTTCCGTTGCTATACCCATATACAGGGAGGGGTTTTTGACACTTTCAGAACAAAAAAGAATTTTTTCCCGAGGTTTCATTTCTTGCGCACTGGGGGGGGGGGGTGTCATATTTATAGGCCGCGCAGTTAAAGGGTTAATTGGCTAGGTTTCTTGGCCCAGCATCTCATCTAAGACTTCATAGCTGCCACCACCATCTACTCCCAGGTAAGTCTCTAGTTTTTACTTGTTCATATGTTTTAATCTCTTCAGGGATGTTGAATGTAATGAAGTGCCATTTTCTAGGCAAGCCTAGGTGGCTCCCATACTCCCCTACCAGGTACATTACTTCGAGGTCCATCACCTCTGGACTGAAGTGATGCAGCTGACCAGATGCAGGCTTGAAGCTAGGACACCACATGTTGGTGGCTCTGCACACTAGAAGGGGTTTTGTACATAGTGATCCATTTAATTTTTAGTGAATATTTTGTGGTGTCTTTAGCTGTTTTGGTACTTCATTTTCATGACCCATGCAGTTGTCTGGATAGTCTCGTGTACTTTCTGGATGCTTTCCTGGTGAGGGATGATGATGATAATCCTCTCTTCTCTGTAATGGGGGCCAGGTTCTGGTCTACTGGGAACATCAGTTCCCAGTAGACCAACAGGACACCTATGACTGATGTGACTTGCATAATGGGAAGCTATGTAGCTTCAGGGAGCCACTGGTCTCACCCAGAAAGCAGCATTTCATTACATGCAACACTTGTTTTTTATATTAATATCCTGTACTAATTAACAGAAAGAATTGGCAAAGTATGGGTTGCGAGCTTTGGCTCGCCGAAAGGCTGTAGTACTCCTGGATCATGTATATGAGCAGACACATCCCCTTGTCACCGACAGTGAGGCTGAGAGCAGTTTTTGTGAAACTCCTAAAGGGAAAACGTTTGCAATTGATAACTGTAAGTATGAAGTAGATTATTTGTATTTTCTTTGATTATAATTTTTCTGGGGGGAGCCCCATCAGCTCCCCAGAGCTATCCAGGCTGATATTGCTAATGTCAGACTTTGGCATCAGTCATGTGTATGAAGCTCTTTAGGCCTACCGGGGACCACGAGCCAGAACCTGGCCCCCTCAGAGAAGCACGAGGAGCAATGGCCTATAGAAACCCCCGTGTGATTGGAAGCATTCTATGTCTGCCATCGACCGGGTCAGGCACCAAGAAAGGTAAGCATCCCAAAACAAACCCCTATTTTGGTTAAGAAATTGCTACTACGCAGTGGGTAATAAGCTGCGCAGGGTACTGCTTGCTCGGTGTTCAAACCTGGGGCATTTTCCACAGCTTCGCCTCTTCCAGCAGATTGAGCCAGTCTGGTTCTTGGCTGGTTCAGTTTACTCCTCCGCTCTTCGCGTCTGGTCTTTTTAATGTGGGTGTATCACCACTTGTATGGTGATCAGGTGGCTTCACTGATGGTGTCTCACGTGTTGTCTTCGTCTTGGCGACAGTATGAAGTCTCTTGGGGTTCTTTCCGCCATTCCCTCTCTCTCTTCGTTGGTTGTCTTCTGTTTCTGTTCGGTTTGTTTTGTCCTTTCTGTCTTGGCTCTGTCAGGACAGTCATCTTATGCCTAATACTGTCACCTCTTGTCATGCGGTGCTGGCAGAGCTGCTCCAGCTTGCATTTGGTGTGGATGTCACTTCCACCCCGTTCCATAATCTTTCTCATGCTTTGTTTCGCTCGGCCTGCTCGTGCGCTGCCTGAGCCATCCTGGTCCTTGGAGTGGGTGCTCTTTTCTCTTCTCAGTTTGTGGTGGCCCCTTTGGTTCAAAATTACTTTCAGAAGGCTCTGTTTCTGTTGGCATTGGCCTCAGGGGGTAGGGTTGGCGAGCTTCATGTTCTCCTCCGGTGCAGAGATTTCTGCTCTTTCTGTCTGGGTGGTCGGTTGTTTTGGTTCCAACCGTCTTCTTTTCTTCTTATGGAGGCTCTGCACTGTTACCTGCGCTCCTCGGCTTCTGTGGCCGTGGACGCGCTTTGGATCGATCAGATTTCCCTCGTTCCTTGTTCCAGGGCTTGGATCTCTCAGGTCGTCCGTAGGGTTATTAAATCTAGCCAGCTTTCCATCTACCCTCATGCCCATGATGTTCGTAAGTGTGCCGCTTTGGCTTCTGTGTTTGGGAACATATCTTGGGCTGACATTTGTGCACGGGAGTTTTGGAGGTCAAACAGAGTCCTGGCCACCCTTATTTGGTGAATGTTCCTGGTCCCAGTTGCTCGTATGTTGCCTTTGGTTACAGGTTGCCACCAGTTGTCTCGTCTTTGAGTTGAGGCACGCGGCGTAGCCGCCTCCCGAGTAAGTCCCTCTTTTACTTATCTTTGGTTATGTAGCTAGAGAGAGCCGAAGGAGCTCCCCACAGAAAACCAGCGTTGAATGTAATGAAACCCCATTTTCTGGGTGAGCGTCAGAGGCTCCCTGGCACCCCCTCCCTCCCTCCAGTCGGCGGTTTCTTTTTTGATACTCAACCTCCGAATTGAGGTGTGAGTAGCTGGCGCGAAAATCCGGGGCTTCCCCTCTCAGGGAGGGGAGGGCTGTGCGGACAAGTGGTGCAGCGGCGGTGAATAACGTTTGCTTGTTTCCTTTTTTTTCTTTGGGGTGTTCTGTTTCTCTGTTCGGTCTTGGGTATTTTGTAATTTCCTGCCATGTGGGGCTGGTTTTGAGATGCTTAATTTTCTGGGTGCCTAACCCTGGTCGATGGCAGATGTTATACCCCCAAATACAAGGGAATTTTCCTAGGGCCATTGCTCCCTGCGCCTCTCTGAGGAGGCCATGTCCTGGCTAGTGGTAACGGTAGGCAGAATTCCATTAACTGAAGCCCCTGACTAATATAGCATATATCATTCTGATAGCTCCAGGGAGCCTCCAGGGAGCCTCCAGGGCTCAACCAGAAAATGACGTTTCATTACATTCAACGCTGGTTTTTTCTAGTTGTTGTGACAGATACTTTGTTCTGTGAAGGTAAGGTCTTCTAACATAATTACTCCTAGATCCTTTACATTGCTTTTTTGTTTTATAGTGTGACAATTCTGTTTTATATGATTTCCATTTTTATATTTTTGTTTTTCCATAGCGTAGAAACTGGAGTAGAAACTTTTCATGAAGCATCTGTGGGGCCATTTTCAACTTTCATCTATCTGTGGGCCATTGAAAGACAAGATTTGCATCAGACTGGAGCTTTGCCGTGTTCTCTATATTGTCTACTCGCATGAAAATCCTAGTGTCATCTGCAAATGATGATTCAGTTCTATAATTTTTATCCTTGTCTATGTCTGAAACAAGGTTGAGAAAAAGTAGTTCACCTCACCCTGAAAGGCAACCAGAAAGTGGCAAGTCAGAGTAAACTACTGCTGGATTAAAAAACTTGCCGAAAGAACTCCCCCCAATTATGTAAACATTAATTGAATTCTCTCGTTTACCCCACCTTATTAACTTATTTGAGGGGAGTGGGGTGGTAGCTCACGGCCTGCCAGGATGTGAGCTCCCAGTTCTAGTGTTGATGTAGTTACTGGGTACCACTCTTTTTGTTTTGGCTCCGGTAACCTGTTATTTAGCCAAGTGGTGAGGTGTTTGCACTTAGTGGCTTTTCCTTACATTGCATTGTAGCATGAGCCAGGTTTTAAGTATGCTTTGAACTGAAAGTGCTCAGGGCCTCCTTTCCTGGGTGCTTTCTAGCACTGCCAGAGTTCCCTTCTCTGGTGTGATTGGGGGTCATTCCATAAGTGGTCCTCCTTGCTTGTAGTGGCTCTCATCTTGGGTGAGTCAAAGAACTTGGCCCCACTGCCTTTGTCCCAGTCTTCCTGGTCAGGAGCGATGTTGGCATGTGGGGCGCACCGAGTGTTCTCGTGCTCTTTCTTGGGATGTGGGTCTCGTGTAGCTCCATGCCCAGGTTCCCTTGATGTCGGCAGTGCTTGTGGCGCTTCGGGCTCTTAGGCATTTTGGTTCTGTCATGCATTTCCTGGAGCATGGGCCAGAATGGAGCTTTTTCACATGAACTTAATGAGATAAAAGGTGAAGGGTGTCAATGAGAGGGTATTTAGGTAACAAGGGTGGGAATATGGATTACCAGTTTGGTTTTTATTATGTGTCCTGTGATGTGACTGCTTATTATAGTAGCCTAACATCCCTGTCTGTGAAGTGGCTTGTACAGGCACAGTAGTATGGTCATGTATATGTTGCTAAGTGGTCTATATCTCAACTGATTGTATTATTTCTTGCAGCAAATATAAAGGCTACCACCACAGAACATGAAAATGTGAAAAAGAATAAACACTTGGCAAATGCAGCAAAAGGCAAAGAAGTTACCAAGAAGATACCTGCCAAAAGAAAGAAAGAGAAAGTGCTCAGTGCAAGTGATGTAGAAGTGAGTGATGAGGAAGAGAGTAGCCAGTGTAATTCATCTCAAATGTCAGGCACAAGGTAATTTGTTTTGCTCATTGATCCTTTCTTTATAATATTTAAAATCTTGATTAACAGAAGGCTGGGCAAGCGGGCTGCACATCTTTTGAATAAAAGTAAAGGGTGGTAGGCATGAGTGGAAACCAAAATTAGTGAAAATTAAATTATTTAATATAGAATACAAACTTGATTGGATATAAATAAATATATGTAAATTCTGTAATGGTTATTGTTAACATGCTAGTTGTTCATTCATGAGGAGCCTCTGGCAGCTCCCTAAAGCTATCTTCCTAAGAGGCTTCTCCATCCTTTCATATCAGCCATTAGAGTCCTGTTGGGGATCAGAGCCAGCACCTGGCCCCCTTCACAACAGCACAAGGAGCTGGAGATTATGATCACCCACACCAACAAAACATCCAGAAAGTAAGCGAAGCAATACAAACAACTGCAAGGTTCACATACAACGAAACACTGAAATAGAGAAACTCCACAAATGATTCACTTGAAACAAGCTTGAAGCTCCTAGTGTGAAAGGCTACAAACAGGTGACATCATGGGAGCTCCAGGCTCCTGGATAAGCAATGAGTCAGTCCTGTCACTGATGTCTCGACAAATAGACCTATCCAAGTTGCCAGGCTTGGGGTCCCCACTTCTTTTCAACATAAATGTAAGTTTCCTTTGGACTCTGTCCTATGTGTGGGCCATTCACCTTCACACCAGGCTGCATGTGTTTAGGGCTGCCCTTCCCTATGTGCATATTTGGCACTACCCTTGCACTGACTGGTGTGCTTGAGTGTTTGCCCCTGAGAGGCCTGGCTACTGGGTAGGGAGAGCGGCACCCTGAGCAGTGCAAGGGTCTGTGACTTCTCTGTGAGGCCTTGTGGTTGGGGGCATTTTGGGGTTTTGTTATATGGTATGTATGCATGTTCATATGGCATGATGCTGGCACTCTTTTGTAGTAGTTATTCTGTAGGCTGCATTCTGTGCCACTTCTTTTGGTGAGCATCCCTAGTGTCTGGATGACTTGCTTGGTTACAAGTTCTTCAAATCGTATTGCCATGCCAATTGTGCAATGCTGAATAAGCCACTTATACACTGCAGCATCCAATTGTGGATACTGACCAGACTTTACTGTTTTTCTCGAACATGCGGCACCAGAAGTAGCATACTCTGTTGTGCTCACATATTTTAATAGAGTATCCTTCTGTTTCTTGATGTCACTTACTGTACTTTTCCCGATGTTAAACTCTGCTGCTGCTGCTCGTGCATGAGAATATCCTTTATCGAGTTTCTTAATTAACTCCAGCTTCTGTGCAACCATCAGGCGCTTCCTTTGGGTAACTTTTGCCATTTTGTAAATTAAAACGAAGATCACAATTAACAGTAATGTCCTTCACAATTGAAGCTAGCCGCGCGAGTTCACAGTAAACAATGGGAACACATGGCCCGGCGCAGTACATTCTAGGTTTGTGGGAAAAATTACCTAGTGCCTATATTATAAAAGGTATTTAAATTAATAAGAAAACAAAGACTTTTGCTGAATAAAAACTGTTTCAAAATATTTTATTAATAATAATTTAGAATTTTCTTCATTAAACTGAATCATTTTAAAAGAAAATTAAGATGTAATATACGACTCTTGGCGATGGAGGTCGGTGGCCTGGTCGCTATGTGAGGGGACGCCAATGCCACAACAAACCCAATACCGACCGTCAGTAATATTGACCGCTAGACCGGTATAGGAGGCTCCAGATACCGGTCTCCCAAACCAGTCGTTATTACCAGCAGATCGGTATAAAAGAGGCCGTTAACTGAAATACATTCATGACCAAAATTATGTCGCTTACCAGGTATCTGGCCACCACATTGCTGATATCTGGCAAATACCTACAGTATTTGTATCTCATAGCCACACAAAAGGATTTCAATCAGTTTTCCAGCTACTTCTCTTCTTATCATATTTTTTCCTAACTAGAACTCGTGCACAGAATCTTTTAACTTAAACTAATTGCCCTTAAGAATTTGCAGTTTTCTCCATTTCACACAATTGAGGTTCCTCTCAAACTTTGCTTCATTTTTGTCCACATTTGTTTTTACCTGTTTCTTTCATATAACAAAGCTTATAGGTTATACTAATGCATTCTCCTGGTAATTACCTTCCCTAAATTTTCACAGCTGCAGCACTGATGATTCTAAGTACGATTGCATAGAGGAGTCAGAGCTGTTTGGGATTAGCGACGATGACATTACTCCAACTCAGCAAG